GGAGGTCCGTTCTTAACCTGAAACTGTTCTTAACCTGAGGTACCACTTTAGCTAATGGGGCTCCTGTTGCCACTGCGCCGCTGCCACACGATTTCTGTTCTCATCCTGAAGCAAAGTTCTTAACCTGAGGTACTATTTCCGGGTTAGTGGAGTCTGTAACCTGAAGCGTCTGTAACCTGAAGCGTCTGTAACCCGAGGTACCACTGTATTTGCTTTCTGTTTTTAAGCTCAAGGAAGAAACTTGCATGGAATATGCTGGGAAGGTTGTGATTTCACCTTTTCTGCATCCTGCTGTATTTCTGCGGCATTCCCCCTTGGTGCCTGTCTCCAGAAGAGACAGAGGGAAAGTCTAACTCAGCAATTTCCGTGAAATATACTCGGAGTCGAGAGTGGGTTTCATGCTCTTTATTCGGCCCATAGTGGTGAGGGGGAATGGAAGTTCCCCCAGAATGTCTGCTTATATACATTATTTACACAATGGGCCCCACGTGATTGGCTAATTCCGGGATTCTTCTGTAGGCCAATCAGGTTGCGGATTCACTTCCACCTGGAGCTGGATTGGGTGGCTCCTGTGGACCAACCAGACTGCTGCACTCTGGATCCTATTATTCTAGGACCAATCAGACTGCTGCATTCTGGATCCTATTGTTCTAGGACCAATCAGACTGCTGCATTTTGGATCCTATTCAACTCATTACATAACATTCCGCTTCTGCTCTTTCTTGCAACAGGAGAGAAGTGAGTGGCTTCTCCTCTTTGGCCTGCCTCTGCTGATTCTGCCATGAGCCCCAGCCACTCCAGGTATGGAGCATCTTGCTCTGTCGCCACAGCCAGCAGAGTGCCCTGCCTTCTCCAGGAACAGCCTGCCTGCTTGCTTTGCATCCATCACTGCCAACAAGTCTCCGCTCAGCTGCCGCTCTAGGCAGCCTTCCAAAAAAGCAGCCACTGCCAAAGGTGCAAGGAACAGGCTGATGCATATGGACAGCCCTTCCCCTCAGCCTTCTGTGCCTGTAGTTATGTCACTCTCTGGCTCTCTGACTTTGACGGATGCCAAGGCTGTGCAATCTAATAAATGTCACATTACTCACTCTCTCCTGGCAAGCTCTGCGTCTGTGGCCTGTTACTCATTCCTCTCTCATGATTCACCTGCCAAAGCCCTGGCGGTTGGCCACTTGCTGATTGTCGGTAGACAATAGACCACAGGCTTCTCCCTCGTTCTCTACCTGTGGTCATTTCTGTTGCCCTTTTTGGTTCCTGAGCAGCTTCGGAAGCTCCCTGCCATCACTTCCTGCCAAGCAGAGGTAATTTACACCAACCCCCACATTTCCCCTCTAAGGCAAGCTTTACTGCTCACTCCTGATCTTGCATTTTGGATTTTATTTTCAGGGTGGATATGTAGGCCTGATCATGCAGTGCTGAGGAAGAGACAAAGCTGGGAGGAAAGTGTGGGGCAGTCATGGAACGGACTATACCCATGGGTCAGCAACCTTTTGAGGTCCATGGGCATGTTTGGATTTTTGAGCAAGTCCTGTGAGTGCCACTCCCTCTAGCCACTTCCGGTAGAATCAATCTGAGTCTTGAAAAGTACATAGAGTTGACAGAGGAAGTTGGAAAGAGTGTAACTTCTCCAGCTTCCTCCTTCAACTGTACTTTTCAAGGAGAAAAAAGGCAACCATTCCATGACTAGGGGATAGTGAGTATGGGAGAGGAGACTCAGATGTTTTGTGGAACCAGGGAAAGACTATGAGGGCAACATTGTGCCCAGGGGTGCCACAAGGGCAATCCCTAGGCCAGGCATAGGCAAACTCGGCCCTCCAGCTGTTTTGGGACTACAATTCCCATCATCCCTGACCACTGGTCCCGTTAGCTAGGGATCATGGGAGTTGTAGTCCCAAAACAGCTAGAGGGCCGAGTTTGCCTATGCCTGCCCTAGGCTATGCAGCGAAGCTGAAACAGAGCACATGGTTTACAGCTGTTGTTTTAAAAGGAAAGAAAAACTGATCCCGCCCCCTTTTTAAATTGGCTTTTCAAATTAAAGTTTTTCAAGTACATATCCAACGTACAACATCACAACAAGATTCCAGAGAATCTCCTGGACTTCCCTTCTCCCTTTTGTGGGACTTATTGTTAGTCATTTCCTGCATCTTTTATAATAATCCAAACATTTTACATCTCCACTGTATCCAAAATTCACCATTAAACTACAAGTGTTATTCCAGTCCTACCACCGATTTTAACTGTTTACAATGGTTTTTAAGATAAATTATAAATTCCCCCCATTCCTTATTAAAATGTTGGTCTTCCTGATTTCTGATTCCTCCGGTCATTTTTGCCATTTCAGCATAGTCCATCAATTTAATCTGCCATTCTTCTCTGGCCGGGACTTTTATCTTCTGCCCATCTCTGGGCCAATAACATCTGCGTATGTATGTGGTCGCATACATAAATAATCTTTTCTGCTCCATTGGGATTTTCTGGTCTATGAACTACCAAATGGACCTTGGAGAGTTTGGAATGACCACCACACAGAGAATTCTTGTAATAGCATCTTTCCATGGTCAGAAGGGTCCCCTGCTGGGAAAGGTCTGCTTTCTGCTCTCTGTTCTCATCCTCTGTGTCCTTTCTCTGTCCCTCCACTAGTGCCATTCTCTACCTTTTTGCTTACCAGCCGTAGCTCTGCTACCACCCTACTCCTCGTGCTGCAGAATACAGATTTTGGCCAGCAGAGTCCTGAAAAAATGCTTGGTCAGAATACAGATGAACACTCTTCAAGTCTGGAGAATGAAACATAAGAATCTAAGTAGAGCCCTGATGGCTCACCTAGTCCAGCATCCTGTTCTCATAGTGACCAACCAGATCCCCGCAGAAAGTTCACAAGCAGGACCTGAGAATGCAAGAATGTACTTTTTCAGGATTCTGAAGTTCAGGCTAGCCCATAAAATTAGATTTTTTTCTCTCTCCATTGGATCTGATTTCGATAAAAATCTTCCTTGCAGATGTACTCTGATGTCATGAAATGCAATAGGCTCAGGTCTGGAAGCAGGAATAAATTGTGTGGCTTTATCTATGCTGGGCAAATGCACTATGTCCAGGACAGTTTGATCTTTGCAAGGTGCTTTGCATGCATATGCAAAAGCAATCTATTTCCGTTAAAACCTATGCAGTGTCTACACCTTCATCTGGAACCATTTTAGTCTCCTGTGAAGTCTTCAGTGGAATGATTTACTATGAATTCTCCCTTTATTGTTCTCTGCAGCACAAAGGCAAATTTGCAAAATGTCCCCGAGCCGCATGGATTCTGGAGAATGAACTGCAAAAATTATGAAATGGAATATCCAGAGGGTAATGCAAGAGAAATGACTCTATAGCTGTGCTAAGTGGCGAATTCAGTTTCTGTGCCAAGAACACCCCCTATTGCGTACTAAACAACAGATTCACCAGTGCATGGATCTGTTGGAAGTTCTGATGCTGAATCCAGCTTTTTTTCCAGGTGTGCTTTTGGCAGTTGTTTATGTTGGGATTATTTCTTCCGAAGGCCTCTGAAGGTGAGTTTATGGCAGGGCCCACTCTAAATATGTTGCTGCTTGAAGTGGTAGCTGATTGGGGGGGGGGGGACTGCCACTTCCCTGACCTCTGGTTGGGGTTCCCAGGGGGCAGAAGGATAGGGGCAAAGCAGCTGCAAAGTCGGCATGGTGCAAATGCACCAGCAGGGTGCTGAATTGGAACCGCCTGTGTATTTACACTACACCAATCTTGCCTATGCCTCCTCACCTCTACCCCCCTACCTCTTTGTAAGCAGCAGCAACACAACTAACCAGAGGTCAGTGGAGCATTAGTGCCCCACCAAGACTTTATGAAATGGTGCACACCAGCCCTATCTCCTGTATTGGCCATACAGAAGTTGATTGGATAGGCAGTGGGATATTATTCCAACACTGATTACAGCACAACAGCCTAGCTTAGGACAGGCTATGCATGGCACAAACAGCTGTAGCGTCTAACTTCTTGTCCCCCTCCCACTTCCCAGCATCTGCCACCTGAAGTCAGGGCCATCCCTAGGAGAGCATAAGGCTTGGGACAAATTGTGTAGCTTGGGTGACTTAGATTGAAGTAATCCCTAAAGTTTTTGGCATTCAAAGGCTTTATTCATGCAGGAACTATTTATAGGATGAGTGGAGATGAGACAGAGAAAATATCAGACAATTCCTATCTTTCCTCAGAATTGTGCACTTTGTGCACCTATGAGAAATTCTGATAGACTTGTGACAATGCCTTGTCAAAGAGTAGCATTAATCTGAACGTTATAGCATCCCTCCCACCAGATGTTAGTAACCTTGCACACTGAGATCTGGAAGGATCATTATGATACCAATGCTGTATCACATGGTTTCAGATAACTCCTATATTTGGACGTAGAAAGCTATCTTACACCAGGTCAGACTATTGGGTAGGGATGGAGGAGCAATTTGATTCTGTTCACATTTAAATGTGACCCTACCAAACTTGAACTTTCTAAAACAATGCATGAACCAAAACACAGCCATCCTTTGAAATTTGAACTTCTCTGAATTTTGCAATGCAGATCTCCAGTCAAGTAATATGTAAAAAAAAGATGCATATACTAGGTTAAAGCATGGATAAAAGGGCATGTAATAATGAAAATAATATGAAAAAATGCATAATAGCAAAATAGCATTGCCAGAATGTCTACAGTATATTAGGCTAAGTTGTGTATAAAAAGATATATACTATAAGAAATTTGCACAAAAATGCTAATAAATTTTCATGAGGCCTTCGAAACAACAGCAAAACAAAAAACCCAGAACCCAAGCTTACATGGAAATGTAGAGAACTGAAGACTGGAAAAATGAGAAACTAAGAGAAACCAAAACTGTAATATTTGCCCACCCCTGCTATTAGGCTAGTACTGTCAACTGTGGCAGGCAGGGTATCTCTTCAGGGTATCAGGCAGAGGTCTGTCTTATTCTCAGACATTTTTCTGCAGATGCCATGGATTGAACCTGGGAGCTTCTGCACACAAAGCATATGCTCTACAGCCGAGCTATAAGCCTCTGATATACTGTACCAGACTCTCCATCTCCTCCCTGCATCCATTAATAGGAAGGCTCTCCATACAGGAGCAGAGTATTAATCATGATCATACTGGGTCCAATAATAAAATGCAACCAATGCAGTTTGTGATGAGAATTGAGGATGGGTAACTGCCTTCCCACTGTCTCTGTGCTGTGCCAGGGCCTGGAAGACAGCCCATCTTAGGACTCTGCTGTCCCTTAACCCACCCCAGATATCGCCAATAACATCCTGCAGAAACCGAACTGTCTGAAAAGCCATTCTGACATGCAGTTAAATCAAGTCAGAAAGGGCAGATTCTGTAGACATGCAGTCACTGGACCTGAGAGAATTCAGAGGTATGAAGAGATAATGTTATGCCAGAATCTTGAGTACGTGGGAGGTGGGAAATGTGATCTTTGATGATTCAGTTTTAAATTTCCTACTGCTTTGGTTCCCTCTGGTGGCTGTGGGATGTGATTTCATGGTACAGGAATGTAAGCAAGGGGCTGGCTGCTTTCAAATATTGTGACTTCCCTACACAGGGTGCAAATTTCACACATAGACTGGTGAAGGACAATATAGGCTGGAGTTCTGACATTTTGTGTGAATTGAAGTTTCTGAAACAAGTCATTCTCAACAGGGACACCTGTAGAGGCATCCCTGACACCTGCAGAGCCATTTGCCCTGAATTTAGTCTTCAGAGACAAATTTAGTTGTAGCCAATATAACAATACAGTGGTGCCCCGCAAGACGAATGCCTCGCAAGACGAAAAACTCGCTAGACGAAAGGGTTTTTCGGTTTTGCGTTGCTTCGCTAGACGAATTTCCCTATGGGCTTGCTTCGCAAGACGAAAACATCTTGCGCTTTTTTTTTAAAGCCTCTTGAAGAGGCGCAGTTGCGACGGACCGTGCTTCGCAAGACGAAAAACATCGCAAGACGAAAATACTCACGGAACGAATTATTTTCGTCTTGCGAGGCACCACTGTATAACAGATTGCCATGTGTACTTGGTTGCACTATGTGTGTGGTGCCCACAACAGCGTCTCCAGTTTGCAAATGTGTCCACACGCCCCAGAAAGGTTGATCACTCCTGATGTACCACCTACATCAGGATCATATGTCCTTACCAGCATTATTTGCCCCCCAAATCAAACCAATTATTAAAACTATTACTAATCAATCAGTTATCAAATAGGTATAATTGTTTAATCACAGGACTTTTTAATACCCCAAATCTAATCTATGCAAATCTAAATCTATGTTTCCATGTTTTTGCAACCATGATTTTGTACCCTAAGGGAAGATGAGCTAAAGCATTGGTTCCCAAACCTATTTGGCCTTGGCTGCAGTTGAAGACAACATGCGTGTTGGCTTAGGCAAGAACTCTGAATGCAGCCAGAGCTCCCCTCCCCTCCCCCCTTTTCCCTGCAGCATTTCCAACAACTGATGAAAAGACAAGCCACCACTGTGTGTAAAAAGGAGTATGGGCTTATCCACACTTACCTTTCCTTCACTCTATCCAAGTGCCTTCCTTCCTTCCTTCCTTCCTTCCTTTCTTTCTTTCTTTCTTTCTTTCTTTCTTTCTTTCTCTCACGCCAGAGCTTTCCCTGTGAAAATCTACTCTTTAAAGCTCAATTGGAGCAAACAGCAATCCACAAAATAACCCAAATTGACATTTGCTCATGTTGAGTGCTAAAGAGGGAAAGCTTCGGGACAAAAAACCCCCCAATGTTCAGGCTCAGACTCAGAGCTTCGGACCTGTGCCTGGAAAGAGTGGGGCAAAAGTTAATTGTGGATAAGCCCTGTGTCTGGTGCTGGAGCAACAAAACTGTCAAAGAGCAGATCTGGTTCTTTCCATGACTCAACCAGTCTTTGGACCTCAGCCCTTCTCTTTAGTTCCCCTTTCCCGCTTGAAGCAAAGGGCAACAATGCAAAGTGTTGGGTTGGTTGACAGTGGTGATGATTTACATCCCTGCTTGCTGTATCCACCCAAACTAGTCTGGTCACTTGTGATTGTACAGTATCGCTAGCTTTCATTTCAGTAACATTTTCTGTGGGGAAACCTCTCTACATAGGAGCCAGCTCCAGGGGGGCATGGGTGCCTGGGCACCCACAAAGTCAATGAAAAAAGCCTGCAGGTGGCAAGGGAGCTGCCTCTGAGAGAGAAGCAGTTCAGCTCCACCCTCCGCAGCCAGGCAGCGAGGCACCCTTGGCGGGGAGGGAGGCTTGGACGTGGAGGCAGAATCTCTTTGTCTCTGAGTCCGAGCCCCTCCCTGTGGAAAAGGGTGCCTTGCTGGCTGCAAAGAGGAGGAGGAGGAGCCACTGCTGGCCACTGCAATGCGGACGTTGCACATCTGCGTTGCAGTGGCCGGAACCCATAATCCTGAGGGCAAGATGGCATCCCTGCCTCCCCAAATTTCATGTGCTGCCTCTGCATATGTGTTCAGGAGTGCTACTGGATTCAATGGAGATTACTCTCAGAAAAGTGTGGATCAGATTTCAGTCTCCGTCTAATGAAAACTGTGGGAATGTTCAGGGAGGCAGGGGCGGATATATTGTTTAATTATATCCTTCCCAACCTGTGTTAACAAGTTCTACAATTTAGCAGAGTAACATTCCCCTTTTAAAACTTACACAGCGGATAGGTTTGCCAGGCTTGCATAAGCCTCTAAAATAAGTTTCCTTGTAATTCCCCTTTTCTTCCCTCCTAAAAAAGAATAGACACAACACAGTCTTGTATAAAAGAGTTTACTCACATTCTGTTCACAGCAGGATCCCAGAAGGCAGACTTAGGTTACAAAATATATACACGCAATAAAGGAGATAGTTCCTTTGTCCTCTCTTGGCTGGAAGTCAAGAGAGCATCTCAGGCTAAGGAGATGTTGCTTCTTCAAGGAATGGAGTCAGAGAGAGAGGGATGGCTGCCTCCCCTGTGCTATTTTGTTACCTGCACAGGTGAGGTCACGCCCACCTCTGGTCACATGAAGAGGAAGTTTGTCCCAGCCCAGGAGGAAACAGGAAGTTCCGACTGGGCTGGTCCAGACACCCCCTTTTTATGTCCCCTCTAGGAATGTTGTAATTGACAGCTCTGTGTTTCACACCCCACAAAAACATTGTCAAAAGTTATGCTAACACACTCAGGCCTAGCCAGAGGTCTTTGTGGATAATCAGCAGCTTGTGCTCATAGGTCTCCAAACATGCATGAGGACAAATGGCCTGATTCAGTATAGGACCCTTGCTATGTTTATCACAACATATTTTTAGAACTGAATTTGGCTCCCTTGAGTGCATTCCCACAGGGAGTCCTGCATTTTTCTTCTGTGGATGAGAAAGCAGAGTAGAGAGGAGGGTTTTTGTTTTGTTTTGTTTTTTGGCAGCTCCCAAACCACTATTTCACTATAAAAGAAATACATTTTAAAATCAGACAATTGGTCAGTGACCTCCTGGCTTTGGAGCTGCCTCCAAGGAAGCACAAAGATTCAAAAACAAAAGTAAATAAAATGCAATGAGTTCTAGTGAGTGATACTACCTACAAATAACTAATAAAACCATCTAATGGAAATAACAACAAAAAATCAATTACAAAATGTCAGAGGAAGCCGTGAAATGGAACTGAAGGAAATGGGGGGGGGGGGGAGGTAGGTGGTGGAGTTTCTCTTAGGAACAGCACCACAGCCTTCCAATGATATTGGTGCAAACAGAGTGTACCATATCTGTGTGTGTGCAAGGCTAGAAATGTGCTCTTTGTGTGCTGCATTTTGGAGATTGCTGTCCAGCATCTGTATTCCTAGAATGAAAGCTCAAAAGTTAAAAAAAAATGAATTTGGGCAAATATGAAACTAATGTGAAATACGAATGGTGGAACATCGCCATCACAAACGTGAGAGCTGTCTCTTGCAACCTGGTCAGTGAAAGAGGAGTGGTGGGGGATAGTGAAAGAGTAAAAAAAAAATTTGTCTCAGATGTGGAGATACATTTGGGGACAACAAACTGAACTATTCTTTCGAATCTCGGCGCAAAAGGGGAAGAGGCGTATTCTTCCAAATGCACGCACTGAACTGCCTGTAACACAAGCCCAGAATATAGTCCTTACTGGATTGGAGAACCAACTAGCTGAATCCATGCACCTGCTTCTGCCAATATACAAGTGGAGAAGTTGTAAGAATTTCCCATCATTAGCTCAGCGCTTCTGAAGCTTGCTCTCAATAACAAGAGCTGAAAACCAAAATGTCTGTTCCCATCATAGATTTGTCATGGTGCATGGGTTGGTTATATGTGGGTGTTTTTAAAAAAACTATTATACAAATATTTTTTTTAAAGGAAAGAAACAGCTAATGTGCCTGTAACAGGATCTTTTTAATGGACTGAAAATCAAAAGAAAAACTGAGTAGAAACCAAAATAAGTGTACTTTGGTGGGAGTTTTATTGCAGGAGTATTCTGCAACATGTTCTTGACACAATAGTAGTGCCTTTGTGGTGGATTTATTCTGCATTATTAATTAGTTGTTGTGCTTCCCCAATGTTATTGACATCTGGAGGGGAAATAGCACAACTAAAATGAAACAATTGCCCCCTCTGCTACAAAAAATATACAGTTTGGGGTATGAGCAGGTCTAGGATTTTAGGAGGATGCTACAGGAAATGCACTGAATGCAAATGAAACAATATGACAGCCCCAAAACTTTTGCAGGTACAGCTAGTATTCTGTCATAGCAATGTTCCATAATCTACAGAGCCGTGTCTCAAATTATAGTTTGCCAGCCAGATTCCAGTTTGATCCTTGGCTTATTGATGGAGAACAGGGCTGTCCCTATCATGAGACAAGGTGAAGCAACTGCCTCAGGTGGAAGGATCCATAGGGGCAGTAGATCTGGTCTCCAAGGCTGTATTACCTATTCCTGCTGCTGCTGCCGTGGCAGTCACGGCTGTGGCACGCTCCTTAGAAGCTGGATCTGCTGCTTTCTCTTGGCAAATAGGAGGCACTGCTGCTCCCCCCCCTCAGGGTCTCCTCCTTTGGGGTCTCCTGTGCTGGGCACCCACCTAGCGCAATTCAGAATTGGGCCTCCTCCACCTGCCTGGCCACCTTTGATTCCCACTTCAACCACTGGGTAAGGTTGATTTGATTCCTCCCCCTTGTTCCCTATCTAGACCTTCACTCACCCTTCTTCCCTGACTGGAGGGGGCCACCATTTTGTGGTGTACCTGAGGAGCCAAAATGTCTTGGGCCAGCCCTGATGCAGAATGAATGTGAAGGGGGAAATAAGTCCTAAAATAAGTGGAACAAGCATGAGTTTTACAACTGGATAAGAAGAGAAATGATATACTGCGTCCACTGTTCAACTTTGAAGGGAAGACCTTGACAGATAGTTTTCTTTTCGGAAAAACTGAACTACGCAGCGTCTGCTTTGACAAAGAAGGAAAGCTGTAATGAGGCATTTAGTGGCAGTGACAGTATCAAAGGAGGCAGGTCCCATCTAGGGTAACAAATGAGCATGTCAAAGACTATTTGGTCCATCTGCATGAATTCAAGTCAGCAGAGCCTGATGATTGTCACACACACACACACATATGAGAAATCAAGAAGAAATGGCAGAAACCAATGCATAAGCCAATGGAAGAAGGAACTGCAGACCTGTTTGCCTGAGTCTAGCAGATCTTAGAAGACCTTAAAACAATCCATAGATTTACAAGCATGTGGTAGAAAAGAATTGGCAGGGAATACAGGTGACATATCTACCAGTTGTTGATGTCTGCTCCTCAGGATATCTTTTATTTGCAAAAGCTGAGGAGTAGTAGCTTCACTCTATCTGGAGCTGGTAAGATCGTCTGGCGTCATGTGTTCAGTTTGGGCAACAAAATTCAAGAAGGCAATTGCTGACGCAGTTGCAACCTCATCTGCGGGAAACAATTTTCTCTCTTAACCCCCAATCCCTTCAGAAAGGGTCAAAATAAATGGTTGTAATCATTTAATTAGATCTTAGGAATAGCATTGCAGATTGCCTATTTTTTTCTTACCCTAATGCTATCATATGGAAGGGTACATGGGAGACTTCTGCATTAACCCTCAATATCTGCATTTGTCTGCAGGCAATGTGGCCAGGACCCAATAAATTTATGCACAGGGGAGAATTGTGCACACAGCTGGAGTTTCTGCGAAGTTTCTTTCCGGTGAAGCTGCTTGCACTGCAGAAGAGGCAAGCTGCTTTTCAGAGTAGTTTAAGAAAAACTGACAAGCAGGATGCCTCTTCCGCTATGTGGTAGAAACAACAAAGGTCTCTGTCTTTCCAGCATCTTCCCATTTTATTTATTTATGATCAAATAGGAGTGTGTCCCCAGAACCAGCAATGATCCCTTGACCACAGAAGAACCACTGCTTTAAATATAGGATGGGGTGGATTGATTGGCCCAGCACGATCCTGTAGTTATAAAACCTTTGCCCACACTGCTATCTACGAACAAACCCCACAAACAGCTGCACATGAAGTCCAGCTGTTGAGATGAAAAAAAATTGCCTTTTCTGTGTTCCTCAAGATGTGTACTTTTGGGGTAGGGTTGGGTTGTGGCACCAAGGAGTGCTTGGAAGTCACAGGGAGTAGCAAGAGGTACGTTCCCCCTGCAAGGCGAGCGAAGAGTGGAGAGGAGGACAGACCAGCGCTCTGATTGCTTGCCTCTGCTTTCGTATATTAGGCAGCCAGGGCTTTTGGCTGGGAGCCCAGACAGGGCTTTTGTAATCAAAACATGATCTTGTATGCTGTGCAGCCAGTACTGAGAAAGGCCGTCTGATGGCTCTCCTCTTTTAGCTCTGCTGTGGAATCCGCCAAGCTTCACCTCTGATGTCCAAAATGCACCGATCTGTGAGTGCTGCCTTTGTTGTAAGTGGGAGGGATGTGGGGGAGTCAGCCTTGCATTCAGCAAAGCCAAGAAATGACTTCTTCTTCTTCTTGCCTTTCCCCTTTTGCATTGTGTTGTCATTTTGGGGTGCTTCGCTTTCGGCCAGCAGATGTGTATCTGAGAGATGTGGGAGGGCAGAAAGGTGCTTTTTTTTTGTACAGCAGGTTAGGATGTGACCAGGTTAGGATGTGAACATCCTTCAGGAGGATATCAGCTTCCCTCCCTCCACCTCCCCGCCGCCACAAAGGAGGGGAAGGAGAATTTAAAACAACAACACAGAATGTTGGGTAATGATGGACACTTCCCATCCCAAAGACCGGGAGTTTGGCGCTGCCTCGAGCAGCACAAAGGCCGGGCATGTTTATGAGAGCACTAGTGCATTAGCTAAGATGACAAAATGCTGGGTTGAGAGGCCCTCTCTTTCCCCATCCCCCAGGCTTTCTTTATCTCCTGAGCCCTGCTTCTTTTCTGAGTCTTTCATATCATAAATAGCTGACTTTGAAAGCGGCAGGTGGGGGGTGGAATCCTGTAGCCAGAGCCAAGATCTGTGAGAAAATCCCATCCACCAAGAACTGACAGCGAGTGGGTGAACTTGAAATGTTGGATACAATGCCAACACCCCCCTCCTCGCTGCTGCCACCCTCCATGAAGCTTCACTATCCTACCCCCCCGCTTTGCTTAGCCCCTCCTTTTCTGTTGCATTTTGATAGAGAAAGATATCCATGCATGTCTGATTCTCCCTCCCCTTCTCCTCTCCCATTGGGCTCTCTGTTTTCCAAGCGAGCAGGAACGCCTTCTGATTCACAGCCACTGCACGTTTCTTCTGCTAAAGCCATTTATAACTCCCCCGAACTAGTCACTGTGGCATACGGGTACCTCACTCCCCAGAAGAGCTTTTATGCTGGAGAGAGGGCGTAAGGGGCAACCCTTTCCATCCCAAAGTGGCAGCGGAGTCGACATTCTTTCCAGTAGCTTGGCAGCGGAAATATACCCTCTCGTTACTGACTGGCTGCAACTCAGCAGCAAACAGCCAGGAAGAAAATCGCTGACCACGCTGCAACGTGTTGGTCCGTTTTCACCAGTGAATCAGTCTGTGTGCCAGCCATCAGTCAGGCCTCAAAGTGCTGCTTTGCAGTTTTGGGGTCATTCAGCTAGGCTTATGTTGCTGCTGTGCTACTGCTGTGTGTGTGTGTGTGCGCGCGCGCGCGCAAGGAAAGGAATCTCTTCTTCAGCCCCAAATCTTGGAGATATTCGAAAAAGAACAGCGAGTGGGGCCTGCAACAAAATGTTGCAGCAAATCCTTACCCTGCACTCCAGCAGTGATGATAGGAGTTGTGGTCCTACAACATACAGATGGCCCCACTTTGGCTCCCTCTGCTTAAGACTTTCTTGCTTGCTTTATTTGACTACTATTCACTATTCCAGGTGTTCTGGTGACCAAGAAAGTGGTATAAAACTTAAGTTTTGTTAACATACATACACAAAAAATCAAAGCATTAAGTCCCAGCCGCATTTCACCATGAATGTTATCCCCACTGGGGTGGAATCTAGAAATATATAAAAAAAGTTGTGAAAATGCTTTTTTTAAATAAATGTTTTGAAAAATATATTGAATTTGCCATAGCTCACTATCGCCATCTAGTGTCCCATTTGTATAATTCACTTTACAACACACTTAAAAACGTTTTATTTGACACTGTATAGCTGAATCCTGGAAATGAAAGTGGGGCTGGTGGGAAATCTTTTACCAATCAGAGAAATAATAATAATAATAATAATAATAATAATAATAATAATAATTTATTTATACCCCGCCCATTTGGCTGGGTTTCCCCAGCCACTCTTCCCATTTGAAAAGTCTTTCAAATCATGCAGATAAACTAAGGTGACATATATGAGATTCTCAGGCAGTCATCCAGACCTGCTTTGTAGTTTCAGTACAGTGGCGGCATAGTGTACCTTTTAATTTTTTTACTAATAGTTGCATAACCTGACTCTTTTTGAAGTGGACTTTGATGCCCTGCATTCTTTGCCAGATTGAGCATTGTTGTATCTTAATATTTTCACTAAAAGGTGTATTGCAAGGGCAAAACATTGGCCCTGCCTGCACCATACATTTAAAGCAGTATCATACCACTTCAAACAATCATTGCTTCCCTCAAAGAATCCTGACAACTGTAATTTGTTAAAGGTGTTGAGAGTTGTTAAGAGACCCCTCTTTCCCTTCACAGAGATGGAGTTCTCAGAGTGGTTTAACAACCAATCCCTCTTCACAAACAACGCAGAGAATTGTAATTCTGTGAAGGGAAATAGGGGTCTCCTAACAAATCTCAGCACTCTTTACAATCTACAGCTCCCAGAATTCTTGTCGGGGGTGGGGAGTACGAGATAGGGTCCTCATTTTTTTTTTTTATTATTATACATGCTGTATTATGTCTACCTGGTTTTTATCCCAATGTGGCTCTTGGAAGGTTGCCCATGAGGGAAGAAGACCCTTGGGCTGTAAAAGCCCCCCTCCTGCAATGGAGATAATGGTCTGACTCAACTTATTACATTTCTAGCATGTGTTGCTATTATATGGCTTTATTAAATGGCTTGAATAACCAACCTCTGCACAGTTTAGCAAAGGATTCTATGGAATGTGGCTTGGTCACTGCACATTTTTGCAACATACACAATTAAAGGAGTGTATTTCTGAATCCACATTGCTCTGATTCCAGGGCTGGCCCACCCATGAGGCAACGTGAGGTGACTGCCTCAGGCGGCAGCATCCACCAGGGCAGCAGATCCTGATGTTGATCTCTCTCTCCCCCCCCCCACTTAATCCTGATGTAGATCTCCCCTCCCCCCTTCTTCCCTGGTTGGGAGGGAAATGCCATTTTGGAGTCCGCCTCAGGTGCCAAAATGGCAGCCCTGTCTGATTCCATTCTGCCTCCATAGCCCCTAGCTTCCCCCCTGATTATGTATGGAACTCACTTGCCCACACAAAGGTGACATACCAGTCACTAGGAACCCAGAAAATTCTGGCCAGGTTGGATCCAAATCTAATTTAAACAATTTTGCAAAAGTGTAACATCCCTGCCTCTCTCCACTGAATTTCCAAAGCTACCCACCCGCCCTCTTTGCCAAGACATTTGATGATGATAAAAAACCCCAATATTTTCCTCACCTCGGGGGGTGGGGATATTTCTCATAAGGAAAATTTGCATATTAGGCTTAAACTGCGTCAGCATCCATTCATCCAGTTTCATTATAAAAGTCTGTTGCTGTATTATTAGAAGCTAGGCCTGTAATTAAATAAGGGATTGACATGTGAAATTTGGCCCTTATCCCAGAGTTTGCTCACCCTAAAGATGCCTTTTCCAAACTACTGCTCTCTAAATCAGTGGTTCCCAAACTTTCCCCCCTCCGCAGATCATTTGATAATGGTTGAGGGTCTTGGAAGACCACGCAATGCTTTTCCTGCCTGTTGCAGCAATTGTAATTCCATAGGATTCAAATCGTGATACAATAAAATAAAATATAAGAAGAAAAAAAAAAGAAGAAGAAGCAAAAAAATACAATAAAAAAATCAATGTGAATATTCAATGTGATGGTTGTGCCCTCTTCTATTTTCAACCATAAATTCACTGACACTCAGTAGACCACCTGAATGAAGCCTGGGGACGACTGGTGATACATAGACCACAATTTGGGCACCACTGCTCCAGATGCTGTGAACTAGAGCTGTGAACATCCCTGACATTTGCCCTTAATTGCTGGATCTGATAGGAATTGTGGTGCGAAATATGGAGCACACCAGGTTGGAGGAGGCTACACTACAGACTTCTCATGGTTGCCAAACTACAGCGCTTCAAACTACGGAAGAAAACAGACCTAATGTCCCTAAGGGTACTGGAACACTCTCCGAATGAAGGCCTGGCAATCCTATGCTCTTTTCTTTCACAGGCCCACGGTCTTTTCAAGGCCTACTCCCTTGTTGTCAAGAGCGAATAGCCTCTCCTGTCTGTCAGCCCTGCATTCAGGTTCTCCACAAGCACAGTTCTTTCTTAGCACCTCCTTTCTTCAGCGGAACCCACTGCTAACTCTCTTATTTTCTTCATCTACCAGGACTTGCCATGGCATCCTTTGTGCCCGCTCAGCAGTCTTGTTCCTCCCACCATCCCCTCCCGGCCGAAAGATGTAGCTAGACTTGCCTTTAGGCTCCGCGTTTGACCCTGGTTCATTTATTCATCACTCATTTCCCGAAATCAGTTGGCTTTATGAACAGCCCGTGACATCACAGTTGTTGGCGGAGTTAGGTAGTCATCTACCTAACCTTTAGTGCATTAAAAACAAATTGAATGTAGGTATCGAGGGATCTCATGGCTAGACAATAAGCTGACGTTGTAGCAACTCCTAAAATTATAGGGTATTACAAGTGCTACCATCTGTTTATGCAAAATTCTAGTTCCACAGGTGTAGCATGCCTTAATTGCTACTGGATAGTTCCTAAAAGGAGCAGGAGATGGTCCTTATGCTTTAAATGATGAGAGTTGACTCTGCTGGCTGAGGTGATGGGAGTTGTAGTCCAAAGTATCCGGAATGGACCAGGTTCAAGAAGGCTGAGTTACCAGGGATGGTGGATAGAGGAGAAATTAGGTTCAGTTCACATTTAAAGGCAAATGTACTTAATTCATACAATATGCCGACTGAATCGCAACCATCCTTCAGAATTCGCACTTCTCCAATTTTTACAATGCAGTTCTTCAGCCACATAATGTGTACAAAAATGCATATATCAAGGAAGATAACTTAATATGCATTGTATTAACAGAGATTGCTTTTCAAAATTGCATACAAAACTGTGAACAATAGGAGAACTTAACACAAATATGCTGGTGAATTTTCATGAGAACTTTAAACAAAAATGCAAACTGATGTGGAAACATGGAGAACTGACCTTCAGGAAGGGAAAAATGAGAAACTGAGAGACACCAGTGCTGGCATACTTACCCATCCCTGTGTGTTACACCCTAAAATGAAGGCTGGCTCAGTCCCTGAAGAGAGATGGGAAGGAGCAGAACAGAAGAAAATTGCACTCAATATATCTGGCGCAGAATCTGCCAGGCCAGATTACAAAACTTGATATTCACAGGAGGATACCTAGGGTCTGATAACCCTGTCAAAATGTGAACACTAACTTCAGACTTGATATTTAACACCTAAATTGAATTTGTAACTTGGGAAATTTTGTTTTACCATGGACTTTTTGGGGGGCTGGGAAATATTTGGGGAGGGGAAATGTTTTCAACTGAGTGCCAAAATATACACAAGCTCACAGATACCAGCTATTACTGCTCTAACCCTCAACCCATTTTGCAGAGAAAAATAGTGCTTGAAAAGCCACACCACCTGCTTAATACAGATTCTTCTTTTGTCCAGATTTCAGTGATTCCTTCTACAAGGAATTAAAATTTTGCCTTAAAATCCAGTATTACTTTTTAAGAAGAGGTTTGTTGGATCATACTAAGGGCCCATTGAGTTTGTCATCTTCTTTCCAGGAATGGCCACCAAGATGCTTAGATGCTTTTGATCAGAGTCAGCATCGGTAACCTTGCATATTATTGTCCCAGGGCATTGTGGCAAATTTCAGTGGCAGCTGGAGTCAGCCATCCAATGCTATGCAGTGTTGCTTTTGCCTACCTGCCCACTCCAACAGTGCCAGGGCTCACCAACAGAGGAAGTGGTTGACTGATGGAGGAGGGGGCCACTAGAAGTATTTACTCAGGATTTCCTCAAACCTGCAGCTGGCTCTGCTGTTGATCCTCCCTTCATTTAGAAGTGCTGCTCTTTCTGGTGGATATATTTGGATTTTGATCCTGTTAATGCTTCAGTAAACTACCCTTATTGTAGTATGCCTTATATCTTGCATGAAATCTCTGCTTTGGCTTACAGATCTTAGCAGAACACACACACACACACACACGTTTGTCATTGTCAATATTACAGTATAAATATACAATTGCATATAGTAGGCCACATACTTATCCAAATTTATATTTTTTCATTACAATTTTAAGTTAAAATACTATCTGGCTATGTTTATTCAAAATAAGACACTGGGTACCTATTTTCTGTGACTTTAAAACATAGTGCTAAATGTTCGATTGCTGTGGGTGATGAAGACCTTTGTCTTCCATCTTTTTCTTGGTTGAAAGAGAGGAGACAAAGAGATCCCATGGTATGGCCAAAATTCCTTCTTTGGGAGGAACAGCTAGATATGAATTTCAAAAAATTACAAGGCTACCACCTTGCTGAAACTAAGACCAAATATGCCCCATGATGGAAGAATAGTGGAATATAAATGTAAAAAAGTAAAATCTGTACTATTAACCACATGTGTATCTGTTATCTGTTTTACTGACCATATGTGGAAATCCCCTAAAGCTCTTTCGTTTCATTAGGATGCCACTGTGGATGATGCAGTGTTGCGGAAAAAAGAACAAAAAGATGTCGAACTGGATAAGAAAATCATAGCTTTGCGGAAAAAGAACGAAGCCCTTATGCGAAGATATCATGTATGTTTGACTTCTTAGCTCAGTTTTGGGGCCTCCTTGGTGAACCTTTGAAGCCCTACATGCTGATAACTCTTTTGAAAAATTCAGTTTGTTGCATTCTTTGTTCAGCTGACACCAGTAACTCGATGTGGCTGAAGTAACTTGAAGTAGGTGACATAGAAATCAGCATTTACTCCCACCAGGAATGGAATTTCAAAATGATTATTCTGCATAACAGATCAGGCTGTCAGAATTGTAAGGAGCCTAAACCAAGGAACCTAAGGAACAGCAATCATGTAGGGGAATGGGGAAGAAGCCTATGGCCAGATAACTTCTGCTTGGGCACTGCTGCAAGATGGCTCCTCAGTTACATAGACTTGAGGCCTATTCATACTTTGTTTGTCTCATGATTGCTAGTCATGAGTCCTATACTTTGTTTTGTTCTGCCACTTTACCAGAGAAAAACAGCTGTTCACTGCTGAATGTCAATTGGGTTTTCTGTGGATTGGTACTTGTTCTGAATAGCAGTAAACATTAGGTTTTCCTGGAAAAAAGTGGGGGCAAGGCAAAGAAAACCCCTCTTGGACCCATGACTAGAATTTGCGGGACAAACCAAGTGTGGAAGGGCCTTTAAGGTGCCCCATAGGAGTCAGAATACTGCATGGTTTATCATCCATTGACATTTCTGGGTCAGATTAACCTGAGCTTTAGAGTGTGTTGTCATCAGTATGCTAATACCAGCTCTATATTTCATTCAGGAAGTGTGCAATAGCAGTCTACCCTGAATCAATATATTGAGACTGTGTTTGGGCATGCAGGATTTAAGAGACTGAAAATCAGACTGGAGACAGGCAATAGTCATAGAATCATAGAATCATAGAGTTGGAAGAGACCACAAGGGCCATCGAGTCCAACCCCCTGCCAAGCAGTCTTTGAAGAGTGGAGGCTATTTTAGAGATGCATTGCTTCCCATGGTGTTCACTTCTTTCTTTTGAGGCCTCTTGGTCAATCAAATGATGCCAGAATATAAAACCCATGAAACCTGTTTACCAGAGGTGAAAGTAGTGTCTACATACCATATCAAATTATTATTATTATTATTATTATTATTATTATTATTATTCCCATAGAGCTCACAACATAAGATCATAAAATCACAATATGAGAAACGCAAAATACATAATAAAATAAAAACAAAAACAAAGACAACACAATAATCTCCCCCTTCCAAAACACATTTTGAAAGGGCATTAGATGTCAATCAGCCAAAGGTCTGGTTAAAGAGGGATGTTTTCTCCTGGTGACTAATGATGGCTCCAGCTGAACCTCCCTGAGGAGAGCATTCCACAAACAAGGAGCCACTGCAGAAAAGGCCCGTTCCTAGGTTGCCCCCCTCCAGACCTCTCATGGAGGAGGCACATAAAGAAAGGCCTCAGAGGATGATCTTGGGGGTCCAGGTAGGTTCACATGGAGAGAGGTGGCCTTTAAAACTATCTTCAACTCTCTGAAGAAGAAGAAATCACATGTCTCAGTAAAGCCTTGGTAAAATAGTCATCACCTGGATGTTGCTATTGTCAAATATAGTGGCAGTGGCAAATGTGTGCTGATGAATGTACAGTTTCTCATAGCTTCCCTATGTTTCTCCCTTTGTTTGAGATTGCTTTGTTTCTAGCTTTCCACTTGTTGTAAGCTGATCTGATAGAGTAGCTGGCTGTCATTTTTGCAGGAAATAGAAGAGGACAGGAAGCGAGCAGAGCAGGAGGGAATGGCTGTCACGTCGAGGAAAGCCAGGCCAGATGGCCTCACCATCACCATCACCAAAGCCCATAATGTAAGCATTATCTCCCCTTCCTGCTAAGGAAGGATTTTTATACATTCCATTCTTGCAAGGTTAGAGAGGTCTTAGTTGTGAGGGATTATGAAATCAATATGTAATAAATATAGAGACCATCAGGCTTCAGGCTCTATCAGCTCTCTGAATGATTTACAGGTTCCTAAATGTAACACTAATATGTGCAAGTACATGTGTTTGGGGATGGCTCTCCAATGAGGAGTAAATTTAAACACCTCTGTGAACTATGGTTTAAAAATAATAAGAGAAGGGAATTGACTATGAAAGACTGGAGTGAGTCCATCACACACTATTGCATCATCCATTTCTCATAAATAAAGATCCACACCATGATGACTCTACTGTTTCCCTAAATCTTTGACATTTCGGCCAAATGTCAGATTCATAAGTGAAGAGATGCTTTCCCCCCTCGCCAGATTTATAGGTTGCCTGGCAAATTGGACAACAGGACCAGCTATTTCTTTGGAAAAAATTCCTCAGTATTTGTATCACTGGCAAAAAGTGTGAGGTCATAGAGCCCTCCTGACATTTTCATAGCTTCTTCTCCCCAGCTGTTAAGGCAAAAGAGAAAGGGAGGAGGTTAATATGGCAACATACCAACCATTTCCTAGCTAAGTGTTTGTCCTATTGGCAGGAGAAAAGAGTCGTGAGTGAGAAATGGGGAAGCAGCGGCCCTCCTGCCTCCAGTTTTGGGATTGGAAGTGAGGAGGAGGAAGATGACGAGGAATCTGATCACTTGTTTACATTCAGGATGGGGAAGAGGGTTCAGTTGGCTGTTACCATGGACAATAAAGCCAAGGTGAGTCCCCAGCCCGTTTTTTAAAAGTGCTGAATCTCTAGAGATGCCAGCAAATTCGGGTTGCAATGATGAAATACACGTAAAAGCATTCTAGTTTAAACAAAGCAACATACATTCAGCAAAAAGGTGGGTCCCACGTTGTTAGTTAGCCCAAAAAATCCAATAAACTTCATGTGCTAGCAGGGCTAGAATTTGGTTCTCTAATATCCCAACCCAGCATGATCCACAAGGCCACCCAATAAGAGTCATGGTAGGGCAGGTTTTTAATCTGGTTCCCCAACATTCCAGTCCAGCAAGGCCACCCAGTGAGTTTCATCTGCGAGCAAATGTATTTGCAATCTACAAAGGATACTTATTCAGGACTAATCAAACTTTTAATGAAGTCCATATTATTGCTTGCTGAGTAAGTCAGCATTTGGGTGGTAATCTTTGTGAGAATGTTCCTCCAATACAACATATAGGCTTCAGTCAATTGGGAATCATTGTCACAAACAGTAAATTTCCAGCAGTCGAAAAAAGCAGCTTGCACTCAGATTGTAAGTGACCCTTCAGTCTTTTACTGCCTGATAGGATTGTAAATTCATTTCCACGACTTCAAAAAGCTCTCTAGACATCTTTGGGGACAGCTCGGTGACGACATCTGTTTCGTTCGCAGTGGCAGTCAAAACAACACATCACATTAGGCTGTGTTGACATACAAGCAGAGTGTAATATGAATCTCTTACAATAACATTAAAGAAGGCAATGGCAGATCCTTGACTTGAGCAACATGTTTGGATTCAACTACATGCTGTCAGAATCAAGACCTCAAAGACAGGAAGAGGACATAGAAGGGGTTGGTGCTTTGAAGCCCCAGTAGCAGGGCTCCCCCCCCCCCAGCCGGAACTTGCCAGAACTCAGTTCTGGCACCTCTAAGGTGGGCTCCATCACCATTATAAGAGAATGAGGGAGGTGTTCATGGTCAGTTCCGGCACCTCTTTTTCTAGAAAAATAGCCCTGCCCAGCAGTATGAAAGCTTGAAATACAAGTCTTTTCTTTTCTTAGGCATTTCTAAAAAGAATATTTCCATGAGTGCTAATACAGGTTGAAGATGTCAGAAGCAATGAGGGTTTGGGGCAGTATTTTACTAACAAGTCCCATCATGCAAGAATATCTGCTTGTACAACAGGACTCCCCCCGCCCCTTTCCACTATCCACCTGAAATCTGTTCCAGAACTTTGGGGAAACTCCTAGAACAGATTAAGGGGGTGTATGGGAGAGGAAATGGGGAAAACATTCTGTTGCACAAGCATAAATTCTAAAAAAAAGCCTTAGCACTACATTGGATTCCACCCTTCGTGTTTAGTCAGATTTTTTCTTGCAGTTCGAATCCTGTTATTAATGTTGCATGTGGTATATTTTGGTATGAAAATGTGTTTCAGTAATTTCTCTCATTCATTTTCATAAATTGCTGTGAAGTGGGCCGGGTGGAATGATTCTCCTTTCCTGCCCTGGCATACTGTTCTGGGGGTTCTCCCAACTCCCCTTGAGCCAATTTTGGGGTGCATGAGGGAGGAGGGGGCAGAAAGCCCTGTTGTGCTAGCAGAAGTCTTTGACGTCATTAGTTGATTCTGTTACTCTGAGTCTATGCGTTCTAAGTAATCTGTGTGCTACCCTCAAAACATAGTGATATTTTCAATTACATGGAATAAAAGTTATATCATCTCTGCTATATTTTGCTTAGTTGTGTTGGTTTTCATCCAGGAAAACAATTCCCATGATGAGAATTTTTTGGCTCGGAAGCTAAGAAAATTCATCAACCCCGAAGGGAGTTAGCTGATCTTTACACAGCCCTCCTAAATGCTGACAAAAAATTAAGAGAACACTTGTTACTTCAGTCTTGATTAGTTTAGTGCAACAAAATTACAATGCTAACATATCTTATACGTTATCTACAAAGGTTCATTATATTGAATTTCTGGCTGAAATATTTCTTTTCGGAATTAGATTGATTACAACTGGTAGCTATCAATGAATGGAATTTGCTATTTGTTATACTTGTTTTTCCAGCACCAAATAGGCATACTTACTCTAAATATGCACCTTTCTATACATACTGTACAGGGCAAGAAACAGCATATTCTGATTCTGCCTTTTCTAGGGAAAGCGGGTTGTGAGTGAAAAACGGGGATCAGAGTGTCTTGTGAGCCCAGGGGAGGCCCCAGACATCAGTGAAGAAGAGATTGATCAGTTGGTTGCTTTCCGCAGGGGAAGAAGGATGCAGATTGCTATTACAATGGACAACAAAGGCAGGGTGAGTATTTTCCCAAATGGCTCCCTTTGGTTCCAGTTCTCTGCTTGGACTCAGTCCCGTCCCCCAGCCCCAGTCTTAATACATGTTGCCAAGGCTGCTGCCAATCTTGATGAGGTGCTGCTGCTGCTGCTGCTTTAACAGCTTTTGGGAAGCTGAAAATTATTTGGAAACTTGCTTTCTGCTCCAGTGCTGCAACAATCCACTTACGCAGCTACCTCTCTGATGTCTTGTGGGGCGAACATGGAAATCTTGCTTACTGCAGCAGACTGAAAAGAGAAGGGGTGATGGAAAGGCTATAGTATGCAAACGCTCCCTCAGTCCATCTCTGGGGTCTCTCTCCCAGTGCAGTTGGGAAAAACTCTTTCCTGGCATGCTAGAGAACTATTGCCCATCAGAGATGACAGTACTGAGCTAGTTGGGGCAGTGTTCTGACTTGGTATAACTTAAGACAGTTTCCTAAGGCCCTTTCAAACTGATGGTTTTATTGCAAGTGTCATCTGCAGCATGTCATTGATGCAATAATAGTGCATTCGTGGTGTATTCATCCTGGACCGTCCATGCTTTGTTAGTTGTTCAGTGATGCTTCCTCAACTGTGACATCTTGAGATAGCATGCAGTAACTGCACTAGCAGAACTCAAGCTAGAGCTCTAGGTGCCAGTTTCTGATATTCATTGTGCCGCACCTTCAATGCTGCAGCTACAGCTCCCAAACCACTCTGTCTGCTCTGACTCTGAGTCTTATACCAAGTGCATATTTAAGTAGCCAGTGAAGCAGGTAAGTCCCTTGAAATGGCTCTGAAATGGCTCTTCCCTAAGATGTCGTCATGGCATTGTCTGTGGCCTCCTTAGGTAAACCAAGAGGAATCATATCCTAAAGTTTATTTGTACTGATGACAGTGGGTGATGCTGAGATCTAAACCACTGAGCTTCTTGGGCTTGCTGATTGGAAGGTCAGCAGTTCGAATCCGCATGATGGGGTGAGCTCCTGTTGCTCTGTCCCAGCTCCTGCCAACCTAGCAGTTCAAAAGCACACCAGTACAAGTAGATAAATAGGTACTGCTGTGGCGGGAAGGTAAATGGCGTTTCCATGCACTCTGGTTTCTGTCATGGTGTTCCATTAGTTATAGTAAGTTTCTATTACCATGTAAGGTCTTGCCCCCCCCTTCCTGCAATCTCTCTCCTCCCTGCGATGGCCCCCACAACAGCACAGCTGTGTGCATTCCTGACTTTGCTTCTCTCTTTACAACCTTGAATAATAAACATTTGAGCCTGTTCCATCAGTGCCAGCCTTGTTCTCCTGACGGACCTCTCCTTTCTAAGAAAGGCCTTGGGGGGGGGGTTTCTTATGGCTCTACACCATTGCGCCAGTAGAGATTTAGTCATGCTGGCCACATGACCCAGAAAGCTGTCTGTGGACAAACGATACGATACGATATGTTTATTGTCATTGTCCCATACAGAACAATGAAATTGAAAACTGGCGCCCTTGGCCTGAAAAGCGAGATGAGCATTACACCCCATAGTCGCCTTTGACTGGACTTAACTGTCCAGGGGTCCTTTACCTTTATACCTTTTACTGACCGTTTTTGTATTGCACCCTTCCTCTGAAGAACTCATGGTGTGGTACACAGAGTTACCCTCAGAACAAGCCCGGCATGTGAGTCAAGAGAAGAGATGATGACTTGCCCAAGCCTAACCAGTGAGCTTCATGGCTGAGTAGGGATGTGTGAACCTGTTCTGTCCCCGACACCCATCAAAACTCAATACAGCTCTCATAATTCATTCTACAACACTGGAAAGTGGAAATGTTGGCTAGGCCCACTGCAATATCAATTGACTTAAGATAAATCTGTCAAATCATGTGATCATCTAGGCCTCAGGCACAAAAGCAAAACATTTTATAGGAAAATGTTCGGTCCCTTGCATCTCCAGCCAGTACTGGCCTCTCCTCCTGCCCTTACTCGCATGTCAGTTAGGCTTAGAGGAAAAACACTTCTCGTTTTTGCCAATGGAAGGTTTATTTTTAATTCTAATTGTCACACTGTGGGGAAGGGGCACAGTTCATCGAGATGGCAGCTGTGGAAGGGCTTCTGTCCTCATGCACTGTGAAAGCAAATAATAATAATAATAATAATAATAATAATAATAATAATAATTTATTATTTGTACCCCAGCCACTCTGGGCGGCTTCCAATAAAGATGAAAAATACATTAAAATGTCACACTTTAAAAACTTCCCTGAACAGGGCTGCCTTCAGATGTCTTCTAAATGTCAAATGGGATGTTGGGCAGAGAAAGAAGACTTTGGCCCTCCCAATCCTTGGTATGTGGCCCCCAAGCAATTACTCCTGAGGGAATACAGCTCTTGACACGAATACAGCCCTGTTACTACTGGAATTCTTTGTAACTTTTCACCTTTAAGTGAGAATATCTTAAGGTCTTGAGGACAAAATCCTGATATTTATAAACAAAACAAATCTATTTTTTAAATGTTGCTACCTCTACACCACCACCACCAATTATTTTTTATCAGGCTGCTGTTAGGCACAGGAACAGGACTAATAATAATAATAATAATAATAGCATCCCTGGTTAGAAATTGAGCAACTAAGTATGGGGGAAAGTGACATAGGATTAAAAGGTACAGAATCTAGCCAAGAGGCAAGACTGTCTCCCTCAGAATGACACTGTCCAACCACTGTCTGAGGGCCCACTTCCTTTTGGCATCTTCTGAAGCGTGTGCTTCTGCGCTTTCTGGGCCAAGGTTTTTAAAAGCAGACTTCGGAGCCGAGCTCCAGCTGCCTCAAACTGATGGTTTCCGAGTGACATTCTGCTGACGGAGAAGAGGATTAGCCCAAGAACAGCACAAGCTGTGCGTCCTATTCAGTCTTCAGGCTGTAACTCAGCTGCCGGGCCTACACTCTGCCCCGCTGCCTGCGAGGAGAGAAAAGAAAAGCCTGTTGACATGGTGAGCGGGGGGCATGCGAGAGTTTTACAGCCCCAGATGGCCAAGGCTGTTTTCTCAGGCAAGATGGATGACGGGCCTGCAGGGAGCACATGGACACATTGAAACAGAGAGTGTAAATCACGCTGGGAGAGGCGGCTGGCGCAGCCAGCTCAAGCCTCTCTCTCTCATGGTCTGCACTTTTCCCAGAAACAGTGCGCCATTGTCCTCAGGCCCAGGCCCTGCGACGCCTCCCAGTGTGAAGTACACGCAGATTTGGGCCTGGAGTTTAAAGAGCTTTTAAACAGTACATTTGGCAGTAAATGCCTTTTTGTGTAAGGCTGCGAGTGACTCAGGGCTTTACAGACTTCGCCATACGGTCGAGGCACGTTAGATAAACACAGAGATGGCAAAGAATGAAGAGGGGAGGAGGCACAAAAGTCATTGGGAATGGGGGGAAGAGGGGGAGCTTTTTGTGAAATGTGCTCCGCTACTGAATAGCCTAAAGGTGATTTGTGTGGAAGCTGTATCTTGCAGTGCAGTGGGCTCTTGGGAAATACAATGTCAGACCCTCCAAGTGCCCCTATTTTCCAGGGATTTACAGAAGCCGTCCCTGCATGCCTCTGATGGGCCAGGTTTACATTGTAAATATACAGACATGTGGGGAATTTGTTCATGCGCAATGTAGCATGATGTTACTAGGATGTAAACTGCAGTTGGCTAAGTAGGGCAACCCTTTCCATTCACTGAATATTTGCACAGCACTTTCCCCCAAGTGCTGAGAACATTTCCCAAATGGAACTTTTCCACCTGACTTAGTGATGGGAGAGTTTGAAATATGAATGCCCTCAGTGAGAAAAAGGGCTGCAGCTCAGTGAGAGAGCTTCTGCTTTGTGTGCAGAAGGTACTGTGCTGAATCTCTGGGATCTTCAGGTAGTATTGGGAGATACCTCAGGCTGAAATCTCGGACAGCTGCTGCCAGTCAGTGTGGACAATGCAAAGCTAGCGAGAGTATGGCAGAGGTGGCTAACCTGTAGCTAGGGATTTTGGAGAATTCTGTCAGGAACAGAAACCAGGAGTGGAAATTGCCACAATGTGCATGTTCATTGGATGTCAGTAAGACAATGTTCACTATCACACCTACTCAAATTTAATTAAACAAACCACAGTCCCTGATGTTCAAATGTTACAGGGCACTGTAGCTTGTTTAAAAGTGGAAATGTATGCTTCTCATCGGCTCCTGTTTTGCATGCCAGAAAGCTGGGAGAATGGGAGAGTTTGTGACCCGGAGCTCAGGAAAACTTGTTCACACAGCAAGAAACAATGTTTTCCATTATGTTGATCTGACCCATAGTCAAAGTATCTGGCTATGGAGGAAAGTCCATTTCCCCAACAACACCACATTGTATGCCTGGATCCTCACAATGAATGAATTGCAAAGCAAGCAATTCTTATGTGACAAACTGATTGCCTGGAAGGGCCCCAAGGCTTACTGTTCCTTTGATGTGCTATGCCATGCTATAACCCCGAGAGGGAGCTAAAGGAGTAGAACTGAAACCAGTATTTGCACATTCAGTCTTCTAAAAGGGCACCATCAAAAAAAGAGCTCTGCCCGTCCAATTTTTGAAAATCCAGACAGATGATAAAGAACAGGACCAGAGTAAGAGCGGATGAATGTAAGCACATGGAGTTACATATAGCTTGAGTTGAGTGCAAGGACTAAGGGACAGAGCTAAACATTGCCAGGAAATTGTATGTTTTTAGGAGCAATATGATGGATGTGAGAAAAGTGGCACCACATAAATATTGAGAAGTGGTGGAATTCAGAGTTTTTTAAAGATAAATTCTGTCCAGCCATTCTGTAAAAAAATCAAAAATCAAAGTTGGTTTGTTTTATTAACTATAGCAAATATACCAAAATCAAAACAACATATTCAAAATCACATTAATCCTTCAAAGTAAAAATTGATTAAAAAATCAGAATCCTTTTAAACAGCCGGTGCCTTAAACTGCCTGGTCGGGTCTTGGCTGCTGAGCGTAAAGCAAGCAAGCAGTGTGGAGCTTCACCTTAGGCAGAGCGCCCTGACATCTTAATGCCACCACAGAAAAGGTCCTGACCTTGTTGCCTACCTGCCATACTTTGGAAGGGCATCAAAGGAAGGTCTAGCACAGGGGTGGGGAACCTCAGGCCTGGGAGCCAAATGCAGCCCTCCAAGCCTCTCTGTCTGCCCTTGGGATTCTCCCCAGGCGATACCCACCTCCCATTCAGCAACATCCATCACTGGCTCTGCTTTGCATTCTCCTTGAGTGTTTCTGGCCTGGCTGGAATGTGTCCTTGAACTCTGATAATGCTTCCTTACTGCTTGCCTAGATGGGCTGGGTATGCAGAAATGAGCCTACCCTCTCTCCCCTCTGGCCCTGCCTGCCAGTGACATGTGGCACCCAGAAGACTGGCCTGAAGAATATACAGCCCTCAGGTTGAAAATAGCTTCCTATCCCTGGCCTAGGCTAGGGTTTGGGCTAATTCATACAGTATGTGTGAAGGATTCTTGTGATACTCTTAAGATCCCAGTTCATCTTCACAACAACACTTTAGGGTAGCTTAGGCTTGTCCAAGGGCATTTACTGATGGCTGAGGAGGATTCTGGCTCACTAAAAGCAAGTGTATGTAGTGCTATTTCCTTTAAAATATATCCCTTGCGTTTCCCAGCTGATACATGTACCCTCTTCAAAGCAGTGCACTGCAAAAGGCTCCTGGTATTTGATATCAGCTTCTTTCTGCTTCACTGGAGACTAAATGGAATTGCAATCTCATTTTCCTCTCCCATAGATGACAGTAAAGCAAATCCCCATGGTCTAAGAAGGAGAAACCTTATTACTATCATAGCCTGCCCTCCTGCCCAGTGCCCAAGATTTTCCCTGGCACCAATATCCCAGTTGTCAGCAGAGAGTTGAGTAATCTCTCTCTCTGTGGGTCTTTTAGTATCGGGTTTCCTCTCTGTACTCTGCCCCCTCTTTCATTTTGGTAATAGCTGCATTTAACAGGCTGCTGTTTTATGCAACAGTGCATTTAAGCTTCAGAGTGGTGTATCCAGATCCAGTGAAGCATAATGGTTAATTAGTATGCAGCAAATCATCTTTAAATTGGACATCTATGGTTTGTGGACTGTTTGAATTGCTTTTTTATTAACAGTGTAGAGAGAGATAATATATCATGAGTTAATATGCTTCCTGTCTAAAGAGGTAAGTGCCACATGATTGTAGGAATGAAATGAAATTGGGGTCAGATGACAAATGGAGTAAATGGAGGCGAGTCCTTCTGAGCCACCCGATATTGTCAAAGTTTTCACTTTTGGAAAAAAATAAATCAAGCGGGGGGTGGAGAAGTGAAAGACAAAGAGATAATTAAGCAAACTACTTTTTACTAGCTCAGTAGTAGGGGAAGGGATATACAATAGCTCAGTGAGAGCATATGCTTTGTATGCAGAATATCTTTGGCTCAGTCTCTGGCATCTCCAGGTAAGGGTGGCAAACATTATTGTCTGAAATCATGGAGACCCATACACAGTGTAGTGTAGAGACAATAAAGAAGTAGAGGTGCTTTTACACTGTCACTATTTTGGAGTGGGAGTCAACCACATACTGGCAAATTCAAGTTGTGTAATAATAAACAAGAGGCCTTGAGCAACATACCTGCTTCCCCAAAAGATCAGACTTTTTTGTGATAAGGGAAGTTATGGGGAAATGCATGGGAAAGTGTGAGAGAACATTATGACACAACAACCATCTAACCTATATAACAAAAATGATTGCCTTGTGGGAAGCGACTCATAAGTGAAAATAATAATAATGAAATTCAATGACCATTCATTCTGATATGTTTGCAGGGTGGTTAGATGATGTTCCCTCAAGGTAAGGGTTATCCTACCCTTCAGCTGTGTTTTCCTATCATTTTCCCTTTCACCAAAAATCTACTCTTTTGGGGAAGCAGGTTTGTTGCACAAGAACTCCCAGTCAGCTACAATTGCAGAACCTGAAGTCGCTGGTATTTGAGTGAAGCCCATGTCTATGGAGATTCAGCACTTAAAAGGGGGGGGGGTCACCTTGGCTTTATTGCCCATGGTAGCAGCCTACTGAATCCTGTTCCCCATCCTGGATGTAAACAAGTGACTGGCTTTCTCAGCATCTTCTTCCTCTTCACTTCCAGTCCCACAACCGGAGGCAGGAGAACTCTTTACCATCTCTTTTTGTTTTAATGACCCTGAACAATTTAGTAGAATCAGCAAACCTGGCCACCTCACGGCTCACCCCTAACTCGATATTGTTTATGAGCAAGTTAAAAACACAGGTCCCAATCCTTCACTTTCTGCACCTCTTCATTTGAAGAACTATTTATTTATTCCTACTCTCTTCTTCCTGCTACGTTACCAGTTCCATATATCTCTAGATCACTCTGCTGTTAAAGGCACAGGAGAAGAAACAGATTAAAAGTTGGCAACCTTCAGTGCTGGATAGAGATGGGGAACAATTCCTCCCCTTAAATGACAGCATTTGTGTGCATATTTTGTTGCAAATTCTATTGCGCTTCATGGGTGTTTTCATGTATTTCTACTGTAAAAATAGACAAATTCTGCAATAAAATGGACAAGCATGTAACGTAAACTATCTTTGATGAAATGTGCTCTCTTGAGACATAGACAGAAAAAAGGAATGTTAGCTGCGACACTGAAATGGGGTTTCTGCCTTGTTATTACTGTGCCTGTCTCTGTGAGAGTTTGATGTTCAACTAAAAAAAGGCCCCAAGCAATTAGCAGGAATAAAGGTTGTTCATTCAAGCTCAGACTTGCCTTCTCAGCATCCTCTGTTTCTTTGAACTGCTCCAGGGAATTGTCTTCTTTGTATTTTACTCTTCTCTTCATGTTTAAAGCTCAGGAGAACTACTGACTCCGTACTCTCATGTAGCTTTCAAAAGCTGCCACTTTCAGATGCTGCAAAATCAGCTCAGGAATACTTTTATGTCAGGAGCCTTGAATCAGCCCAATACTATTTCACTAAGCACAGGGCAGGAAGCATGGTGCTGTATTTCTCCATGGGACAAGCTTTGCTATCCATTCAACAGTCATTCATCTCTTCTGTGAACATACTCAGAATTAAATCATGCCAGACAGCTGTCTGTCATGTTAGGGAGGATATTACATGATATCTGGAATAGGGTAACCAACCAGCTTTGCTCCTTTGTCTTTACCACTATAGAGAAATTGAAGGAGGAACTATCCCCATCTTGCATTTACTGAAATAACAGGATTGCAGGGGTGGACCCTCGCAGGGAAGCTTAGACAAACTGGATGTAAATTCTTCCCTTCAAATCTCAGTGGTAGGGCATTTGCTTTGCACATAGATGGTCTTAAGTTCAAACCCTGCATCTTCAGGCAGGACTGGGAGAGATCTCCATCTGAAAAGCTAGAGATCAATCAATACACCAGCGTTTTCTCAATCCCGTGTACCCAAATGTTGTGGGACTACAACTCCCACCATCCTTAGCTAACAGGTAGTCAAGGAGGATGGGAGTTGTAGTCCAACAACATCTGGGGACCCAAGGTTGAGAAAGGCTGCAGTGGACAATACTGAGCTAGATGGAGCAATGGTCTGACTCAGTAGAAGACAGCTTACTATGTTCCCCAAACTGATCTAGAGCCCCACTGGTGGGGGGAATTCTCAGATGAAGAGGGGACTTCTATTTCTGAAAACCTTTAAAACACACATACATACACAAACACAACTCTTTGCTTATAAAGGGCTGCTTTGCCTCTGAAAGTTGGGCTATATTTGCATCTGTATCCATAAATTAGCATATGCAAATTTTATGCAGATTTCTGTCATGGGCCTCCCTGAACATGAACAAAATGTACAAAACCCCATTTAAATAAAATAAATAAACCAGGATGGGGAAGACAAACTGGCTTTATCCTCTTTTTTCCTACAACTGTTGCCCTATAGTTGTGTGTGTGTGTTAAACCCAACCAGTCACTTTCTATCACTCAGGATGCTTCCAGATGGGATGAATTGTGGGATGAATGCTTCTCATGCATGCAGGGGTTTTTTTGGGGGGGGGGGGTTTGTAGCATCTGCACAATGTTGTTCTTATCAAAATGCAAGCCCATATCTCCCACCCCCACATTTTTTGGATTTTCCCTTTCTGGGAAAAATTCAAAACTGTTGGCAATGTTCCTTTTCTGATATCTCAAAGATCTGTTTACAGCATTAAATTTCTGTCTGAAAACACTCCAATTACGATACTTTTAAATGGAGTTTATACTTGCTCTCCTGTGTGCATGATGATATACTTAGTGTCAGCTCCTCTTGCATTGGTGTGTCTATCTGCACAGCCAGTCTGAGTCAATTTTGTGATGTCTAGAAGTGTGTTAAAAGGAAGGAAGGATTCAGGGGCCCCTGATTAGGCTTTTGGCTATGCAATATTGAATGCTATCTGTTAACTCTGTTCTATCCTGTTTCGCCTTTGTTATTGTTATTCTTTAAACCAATTCACAAACCAAGAACATATACATTGACCACTAATAATGAACCGTATGTTGCAGACATTACTGCAGATATATTATTCTGTTTTTTTGTGATATACAAATGACACGTGAAGACTTGGTCTATTTTGTATCATTTATGATCCTTGTTTATAAAAACTCAATAAAAAGTTATGTTTAAAAAAGAAGAAGGTAGGATTCAGGCAGGGGTGGATGACGATTTGGAGATCTTGCGTGCGCTTTTGCTTTTCACTCCTTCAGAAAGTGGTGGACTCTCCTTCCTTGGAAGTTGTTCAGCAGAGGTTGAATGGCCATGTGACATAGATACTTTAGTTGAGATTCCTGCATGGCAGGGGGTTGGACTAGATGACCCTCAGGAACCCCTTCCAACTCTACAATTCTATGATTGTCTGATTCCATCACTCCTAATGGGGCTGCCAGTTTCCACCCTGCACAGCTGTTGCAAAGTCAGGCAATTGTTCCTGCAGCTGCCATGTATGGTTACAAAACTCAGACCAACCAAAGTAATAAATAGTGAGAGCTTTTTGGCAGCAGAAGACCTAGAAGTTGACAGGATTCTGCATGAATTGGTAGGCAGCTGCATCAGCTAGACAGGAGACAAAGCGGCCCTGTGTGCTGTACGCAAAGCATGTCTGGCTGTTGTTAGGAAGCCGGCTGTCAGGAGAGAGAGCAGGATTCATGCTCGTGCCAGTCTTTCTCCCATGCAGGTGAGTGGAAATATGGAGAGCTGAATTTTCGTGGAAACGGTCCGTCCCAGACATCAGGATATTCTTCATTTTGGATAATCTGCCTGTTGCTCAGTTCTGACAACTGAACAACACAAACATTTATAAAGTGCCTGGTGCTGTTCAAACAGACTGTTAGTGTGCCTACAACTGATGCTTATTTAAATTATTAGCAATTGGGACCTAACCCCCAAAAATCCAAAAATTCTGTTCCTCACTTGCAAGACTAAGCATATGTTAAGAAAGAGATTTGATGACTGGTTTCTTTTAGAACATAGTATCATTTCTAAAGGGACGCGGGTGGCGCTGTGGGTAAAACCTCAGTGCCTAGGACTTGCCGATCATATGGTCGGCGGTTCCAATCCCTGCGGCGGGGTGAGCTCCCGTCTTTCGGTCCCAGCTCCTGCCCACCTAGCAGTTCGAAAGCACCCTTAAGTGCAAGCAGATAAATAGGTACCGCTTTATAGCGGGAAGGTAAACGGCGTTTCCGTGTGCTGCGCTGGTGCTGGCTCGCCAGAGCAGCTTCGTCACACTGGCCATGTGACCCGGAAGTGTCTCCGGACAGCGCTGGCCCCCGGCCTCTTAAGTGAGATGGGCGCACAACCCTAGAGTTGGACACGACTGGCCCGTACGGGCAGGGGTACCTTTACCTTTTATCATTTCTAAGCTGAAACTATTTATTTTCTTTATAAAACATTCTCTTTGAAATGTATGTTTCTCCCTGTTACCCAAATCTTTGATTTGGAGAAAGGCAGTGGTTTTTTTATCTTTTAAAAAAATGTTTAGGGGTACTTTCATTTTGACTCAAGAAAATCACCATTTTATAGTTCAAATCAGGAAAAATAAATACAGTAAATGGACAAAAGTACAAAGATTCACAAAATGTTTAGGGGTATGTGTATCCCTGCATCCCCCCAGAAAAAAAAGCACCAGAGAAAGGGCTATAAAAATCACCATGTCAGGAATTGCTGCAAGGGCAAGGGTGGTACAAACCCCCAGAAACTTGTTTACAACCCCCAGCCTGCATGAATGCATGTCAATTGGTGGGAGAATGTGGAATGAAAGTTTTTGGCCTCTGTATGGAGTTGTTGGGATCCATGTTGTCTTGGGAGACAATGGAGGAGACTCCTGATAATAGTGGCCTGAAGGCCCCTCTTCACTACCCCAGGAGAGAGCTGGGGTGGTTGGTTCCCTGGATGTCTTGAATCCAAACTATGAGAGATAGATGCATCTGGAGCATGTGGAAGTTTTGCATACTACTTTTTATTTCTGTGTTGGGCATTATTCTCTCTCCCCAGTTTAGTTTCAAGCTGTCAGATTAGGTTGGTTTGTTCATATTGTTTCAAACAAACTTGTACAGATTTTTTTTTTTGTATTTATTTAGTGATGGTATTATTTCGTGTGTGTGTGTGTGTGTGTGTGTGTGTGTTATATTTAATTATTCACTTGATACATTGCAAGCCACTTGTGGCACAGTTTTGTGGGAAAGTATCGATAGATGAGGCTGATCATGAAAATCTTGCAGTATGGAAGCCTCTGTTCAGCATTTCAGCTGCCCCATTTCACCCCCACCCAGTGGCGTAGCGTTGGTTGTCAGCACCCGGGGCAAGGCAAGTAATTTGCGCCCCCTAACCCGTGGATTTGCGCCTCCTAACCCGTGGATTTGTGCCCCCTAACCCTAACCCCCAGATGTTGCGCCCGGTGCGGCCGCCCCCCTGCACCCCCCACGCTACGCCACTGCCCCCACCCCCCGTTTTCTGCCCCCTCCAACAGTCAGCCAAGATTCTCAATGGACTGTTATGAGGGCCTCCCACTTTACGGATTTCCACCCCCAAAATATTTTTGCACTTCTGTAAGCTTCAAGATTCCTCCAAGTCTCCTTCCCTCTTGTGTACTGGCATGTGGGGTGCCTTTTGGACTACATAGCAAGATAATATCTGCTTATGTGAACTCCAGCCCTAGTGGAACATGAAGTTACTGATTTCCAAATGGTGCCACTTGCTAAAAGCCTTTATTGTTGCTCAGTGGCTACTGGGGAACTTGGATAAATCAAGTGGATTATGTGTACATGATGCTGCGCTTTGAGACTGGCTGCCAGCAGAGAGATACGTATTGCGGGTTCCTCCTCATAATAGTTCAGATGAACTGCGGTTCTCTGATTAATAATGTAAATATTACAAAACTCCAATAAGTCTCCAGTGACCAAGAGAAACTAAATCTGATCATGCATTGTCTTCCTGGAACTTCTCATTGCTCTGGGAAGTGGAGTGAGTGTTGCACGATAGATTCTAAGCATTGTTATACACTCCTCACTTTCCCTGAGTGGTGGTAAGTCCCAGGAATAGCATTTCTGAGTCATTTCCTTTGGCTGAGAATGTACCGGAGATTCGTGGTGCCTTGGTAATATCTCTTTGTTTACAAATAAGCCAGCAGAGATATTGCTAGCAAGCAGACAACACAAGTGCTAATCTCACACAAGCTCCCAATGAAGCTACAGCTGTACCTCTGCTTCAGCCAACTGCAACTAGGACTATAGCAAGCTGCTGTATATCAGGGTCAGTTTAGCTATTTAGCCTAGTACTGTCAACTCTGACTAGCAGTGACTCTCCAGGTCTCAAACAGAGAGGGCTTTCTCATCACCTGTTGTGGGGCCTTCAAAATGATAGGATGTGTTCTGCCACTGAACAATAATCACTTGCCAGAGTTTCATCTTTCTGTCTCTGTGGCAATTCTGATGCTTCCACTCCAAATGTCCTCCAGCTGCCTGCCAAGGCCCCACAACGCAGTTGCTCCCTATGTAATGAGCAACCTTACAAGACAGCAGCATATAGATTTTGAGTTCAAATAGGCCACAACTTCATTGGTTACAGATGTGAAAGGTTTGGCATTGGGTGAAGCCATTTCTTTAAATCCAGCCCATCTGCTGTGAGTGTATCTAAGGGTAAATCACAACATGGGGGAGGCCCTATGACCTACATCAAATAGGGGTACCCCTGGGGGGTCCCCTCTGAAGGAGTTCTATGGCCCTATCCCCCATCTGGACATCGGGCAGAAGCAACTCTTCATTGATCCCCTTAACAGAATACCCTTAACCAAGGAGGGGCAGGCAGAGGCTACAACATCACCTCCAGACCAGACTAAGGCTTACCCAGTGCCTAACCTCACAAAGTTGTGACAATTACTATGAGGTAGGTGAAAACCAAGCGGCCAATGCCAATTGGCCAAGTGGAAAAATTCCTGCCCATCCCTGAATAATGGCAACTGATATAGAAGAGCCTGTGAAAAGATTGTGGAGGAATGCTGGCCTGGCCACAATTTCTTCCCTATGGGGTGGGCCCAAGCGACGCCCATTGGCTGGTTGGACCCTCCCCCTGAAGAATCCCCAGACCCAGGCTTGTCTACCATTGGCCAATCTGCAGGCGGGCCTGCAATCTTCCCCAGCTGGCCATCAGAGCACTGATGTTAAAGGAAAGCAGAATGTCCTTATTACTGCATATTCATTTGTGCTCATGATTGGGGTGGTCATGGGAGATTCCTCTGTCAATACGATTTGCCCTGAAGAAGTTTTGAGGCAGTCATACTGCTTCTAAACAGCACACAAAGGTCCTGCTAAAATCCTGTAACTTTTCATGCCACAAATGCTCTGGGTTTTTTTATTGTCCTGCTTTTGTTGTGTTAGACTCCCTCTAGACAGTAATAATGTAGAAGCATTGGAGAAGAATCAAAGAACGGTTAATAAAGCAAAATAAATTTACCACCAATGCACTATTACTGGGTCAAGAACATGTTTCAGAATACACCTGCAATATAACAACAGTCGGGAGAGGTCCTTTGTCAAGATTTTTTGCAAACTCGTGTACAAGCAGAAGCACTTCTTTTCTTGTTTATGTTGATTTATCACAATGCATCAAACAGCCCTTCTGTGAGTGGAAGGTGCTTTCTGCATGCAAAAGGGTATCTTTGGTGCCAACCCACAACCAATGTGATATTTTCCCTCTATAAAATGAGAACAATAACCTGCACCACAAGATTGTGGTGAGGGCTTGCACGATAACTGAGGATGATCTAGCAAAAGTTAAGCACCTTGCGGTCCCACTGAGAATGAAGATTTTGCTTAAATCATTCCCATGGACAACCAGATGGTTGCAGAGTGTTAACTCTAGCTGAATCATGCCCAGAATTTGTAAAGCACTTTTCACATCAAAAGTGCTATAGAAATAGCAAGGACTAACTAACTAACTAACTAACTAACTAGACAAATGTTCAAGTGCTATTTGTGTGTGCTAATTTTGGTTGGAAGTGCTCGTATTGATGGTAAAGACAAGGCTTTTAACTACAGATCTGATTTTCCTTTCTGTTGTTTTTTTTTTTTTTTTTAATAATATTTATTGGTTTTACAAAAACAAATTCCAAAAGATGTGGAAAAATACAAAAATTCGACAAACAGAAAACAACAATAACCATAACAAAAAGCAAACATAGATAACAATATCCCTGACACAAAAAGGAAAAGGAAAAAAAGGAAAAAAAGAAAAAAAGAAAAAAAGACAGAAAAATTTAAAAAGTAATATACTTTCATTTAACCTTCTTATCATTACCTATTTCTTTGACTTCCCCACATCTCCCCGCTTGTATTTCCATTTAAAAACTCCTTTCAGCAAATCCTTACCCTCCTTTCTTTATCTTAACTCAAAGTTAATCTATTTATATATAAATATTACAGCTTTATCCATCAAATATTCCATGCTCTTAATCACAAGACTTTTGCCAATACCAGTTGTTTTCAATCAGACCTCAATTTAACATTCATTAATTTTATAGTATTTCTGTAGATAGTCTTTAAATTTCTTCCAGTCTTCTTCCACCGACTCTTCTCCCTGGTCACGGATTCTGCCAGTCATCTCAGCCAATTCCATATATTCAGTTACCTTCGTCTGCCATTCTTCCAGAGTGGGTAAATCTTGTGTCTTCCAATACTTTGCGATGAGTATTCTTGCTGCTGTTGTTGCGTACATGAAGAAAGTTCTGTCCTTTTTTAACACCAATTGGCCGACTATGCCCAGGAGAAAGGCCTCTGGTTTCTTAGGGAAGGTATATTTGAATACCTTTTTTAATTCATTATATATCATTTCCCAGAAAGCCTTAATCTTTGGGCACGTCCACCAAAGGTGAAAGAATGTACCCTGATTTTCCTTTCTGGCAGCAGTGTGGAATAGAAAGGATTTGGTAAGAATTTTGCTCTTGTCCTTCCTCCACATCTTGTTTCCCAACCTTTTCCTCCGTTCCATTGTCTGGACCTGACAATCCTTGGTTTCTTCTGTATTGTCTGTTCTTAAAAAAAATAAAATAAAAATCCTGGCAGGAGAATCTGATCTTTTTAGCTTGTGCTGATGCTTCTTTGCTCCTGAATAAATATTCCCTTTTGTGTCCTTGCAGGTGGATGAAAAGAGAACGGTGGAGAGGAGGTTGTCAGAGGGTGACAAACATTCAGAGAATGTGCTTGTCAGAAAGGTGAGAGCAGTCTTTAATGACAATTTCTGTGAACAGGGAGCAGGGTTGACTGGCTTAATTAACTAACCATCAGCATTTGACAACAGAAAACTCCAATTCACAAGTCAATTCTGACTAAATGCACAAGAAGATTCTGACTAAACCTAAGGAAGGACTTTCTGACAGTAAGAGCAGTTTGACAGGGGAACAGACTACCTTGGGAGGCAGTGAACTTGCCTTTATTGTTGGTTTGCTTTTTAAAAAACATTTTGAGGTTTGTCTCAGGTGCCAAAATGTCTTGGGCCGGCCCTGACAGTGGCTAGCTACAGCATGCACAGCTGAACTACTTAAATGAACCAGTTGGCTTTGTGCCCTGATTTGCCACGGAGAGCATCCTAGTGCTCATGCGTTGGCCGCAGTATTACCACCAGTACTGCATGGACAGTGACAGCAGTGAATGTAGGAGGAGACGGAACTACAGGAAATTCTGCTTAAGGTCTTTAGAAGGATTCTTCCCTATCAGCGAATAAGGCAATTTTGCTTGCCACTATGTTTATCTCACACTGAGGTGACTTGTGGGCACAAGACAGGTGACCTCATTGTAAACAGAGATGTGTCAGTTACAGGTAGGTAGCTGTGTTGGTCTGCCGTAGTCGAAACAAAATAAAAAAATTCCGTCCAGTAGCACCTTAGAGATCAACTAAGTTTGTTATTGGTATGAGCTTTCGTGTGCATGCACACTTCTTCAGATGCTAAAGGGGTAAAAGCAAGCACCTGATGCACCGTTAATCGATGGTTTGGTCCAGCCAATCCGTTTCCAGTACAGTGGTACCTCGGGTTACATACGCTTCAGGTTACAGACTCCACTAATCCAGAAATATTACCTCAGGATGAGAACAGAAATCATGCTCCGGCAGTGCCGCGGCAGCAGGAGGCCCCATTAGCTAAAGTGGTGCTTCAGGTTAAGAACAGTTCCAGGTTAAGAACGGACCTGCGGAACGAATTAAGTACGTAACCAGAGGTACCACTGCATGGTGCAATGCTAAGTAATGCCGTTTTGTGGAATGCCATCATAGTGCTGTTCAGCACACAGGCCACCAGAGGGTGCCAGAAGCACAGCACGGCTTTAGCCATCCTCACCTGAGTATATTACATTTTCAAACAGCAAAGGAATAGGAGGGGGAACTTGCTTGCCAAGTCCAGTGCTTTAATTTGACAAGGACTGCAGGCAAGGTGCGGGAGGGACCTGCTTTACTTGGAGTGCAAAACGAAGCCATGGTGCTTTGCTTGAGGCTGAAAAGGTTTGTGGCAGGAAAATGCTCAGGCTGGGCATGCGACGCCTGTTCTGTTCCTGCGCCATCCTTGTACCACCGTGCAAATTCTTTCACTGCTCCATCAAGCCGTATGACTAAGACCTGTCACACGCGATTCATTCTTGCAGCTGTAGTAAGCTCTTTGGGAAGGAGGGGTGTTGATCCAGAGGCTGCTAACTGCCGGCGTTAACAACGAAAAACACGTCAGTCTCAGATTGCAAGGGGCTGACTCTTTTTTTGCAGTAGATTTGGCCCTGCTCACTGTTCAGCACAGACCCAGAAGGAAGCCTTGGCTCCCTTGAGCCGACGAATGCTCGTAATTAACGGAGCACAAATTGAATAAGCCTCCCTTTCCCGGTGAAGTGATTCATTAGCCTGAGCTCCAGCTGCAGCCCAGGGAGCACGGTGATCTGATCTGATCTGTGTCACTCCCTTATGGCCCAAGAAGCACAGCTGTGGCCAAGCTGAGCTGAGGCCCTGGTCAGCGTGGTAAACAGCTCCCTGCCCTGGCCCTGAGCTGGTTCCCAACAGTGAATATCTGCTGCTCACTTCCTTAATACAAAGTGCAGTCATCCTTGGAAAAGCTGGGTTGCTCCTTACATCTCATATTGCCCAGAAGATACATGATTCAGCAGGCAAATCTGTAAACATGAGCTGCCTCCCCCACCCACTTCAAGCCACACTTTCAGTTCGAGTTGGCTATATTCTACAAAGCAGTTCATCATCCCTTCTGATGGCAGTTCCACCCCTCATTTAGACTGAGGGGGTGTTGATATTTGGGAATCTATCACTCTTTTTTGAGCTATTAAAAATAAGCATATTCTGGCTAAATCCAGAGTCTCTCACTTGAGCTCATAAGTCAACAAACAGTGGACACCAGCTGGGATTCTTGCTGATCGATTTGCCAGGTTTGGAATATTCATTCCAATTCCCCTACACAGTAATCTCCTAGATGTCCTGGATACAACCCCCCCCCTCCGAATCATAGATTTCATTCACCTGCTATTCTAGTGATCCAACAGGCTCTCTGATATAGAAATATATCTCTTATTTCTCATTTCCTCTTCCCAAGCATCAAACTCCTGAGTCTGGCAGGTGAGGCGCAAGTATGGTCATGGGAAGCAATTTTGGGGAGGCCAGAAACAGAAGTGGCTGGAGGGTGTCCTGAGCCTCTGGGGTGCTTTTCTATTGCTCACAGCAGAGATCCTAACTTCTTGCTTCTCCACCCACATGTGGGATGGGCTTGTCAGGCCCCTAAATTCCCTTTGGTGGAGAAGTAAAGTGTTGCTGTTCTTTCTCTCCTTTGCCCACCCACATAGGTGTGTCTCCTTGGCAACAGGTTCCTCAGCCTCTAATTTTCCTCAGTTCTATTTTGATCTGCAATGAAATGCCAAGGGTGTTAATTCTTGATCAGGGTGTGTGCGTGCGTGTGGCCGTCTTTGAAGGGGAGAAATATGGAATATGGATTTATCCGCAGACAATGAACGTCACAGGATGTGTATATTCAGCAATATGCTCTGGGGCCTCCCTTCAGTTCAGAGAGCTGCTGGTTGGCTCCCACATCTGGTGGGCTACACTAAACTCTTGCTGTGTTGATGGCTTTCTTTCAAATTCATTCCTTCTTGTTCTGAGCAGCCACTTTTCGTTAAGGTCTTAAGCATTCAAGCAAGACCAGCATTCAGCTGCTACAACGCCGAATGGAACAATAAATCATGAGGCCTCAGGCAGCGCAAGCAAACAAATTTCCTGCTCAAAGTACATTGTTCTGACTTGTATACTGGAGGCTCATTATGCAGCATGCTCTGAGCTCCCTGTCCTTCTGGGACCAACTATACAGGTACAAACATTTATACGTAGTGCAGCACTATAGCACTTTTCCCCAACATAGTGGACGCCAGATATTTTGGACCACAATCCCCTTCAACCCACATCAACATGGCAATGCTGGCTGGGGCTGATGGTAATTGTGGTGCAAAATACAGTGGTACCTCAGGTTACAGATGCTTCAGGTTACAGACTCCGCTAATCTAGAAATAGTACCTTGGGTTAAGAACTTTGCTTCAGGATGAGAACTGAAATTGTGTGGTGGTGGCGCGGTGGCAGCAGGAGGCCCCATTAGCTAAAGTGGTACCTCAGGTTAAGAACAGTTTCAGGTTAAGAACAGACCTCCAGAACGAATTAGGTTCTTAACCTGAGGTACCACTGTATCTGGAGGGCACTAGGTTGACAAAGGCTGCTTTATAGTGTGGCATAGTGGCTAGTTCATGAGGTGTTAACTAGGAACGCCCAGTCTCAGCTGTCATCTCACTAGGCGGCCAGAGTTGGGCCACTCTCCCTCAATCTCACCATCCCATCTGCGGTATGAGATAAATAGTGGCCTGTCTAACCATAGGACTGTCCTTTTCTTTAGGTAGAGGTGACTGTCTCAGGCAGCTGATTTGGGTCATGAAAAGGCAGCCAGCTGTTTGTTATTTATTTTACATTATTGTATTTTTCCTGCAAGAGAGAAGGAGAGAGAGGGGGGGGGGGTTGCCACAAGGTCCAAAAGAAGGTGTTCAGCCTTGGGTACCAGGCCCCTTGATTTGAGGAGGGCACCATTTACTGCTCCAGCTCAGGTAGTGAGCATCTGTTTTAACAAATCTTGCGAACAATGAGCTGTGCGAGCCATTTGTGTAACTGTGTGTGCCAAATGAGCAGTTAGCCATTTGCATTTGCCACCTCAGGAGTGTGCGGTGTCAACTGTTCATTAATCGGCATTAGGTGCCTGTGCAGAATTATCTGTTCTGACAAAGTATTTTGTCAGGTGTTGAATCCTGGAGTGCTTCTTGGAAGAGCATCAACACAAATGTGTGCATGGGTCGTTTGGAAGCCCACACAGAGGAGATAGTTCCTTTGTTCCTTAGGGTCCCCAGACATTGACACCTAGATGCCTCCATTGCAGAGCATCCTTTGACTTTCTGCAGCTCAGGAGGATATAGGAAATACAGAGCATTTAAGCTACCCAAGACTCTCAGATTACTCAAGCAGGGGATTTTGAGTTGGGTGACATGCAACAATATATTCCTAGCCACAATCTCCAAATGATACAAGTTTCCAGGGGTTCCAGGTACTTACCCAGGGTTTGTGTTTCCTTTGGAATGAGGCACAGCAGAGACTGTGGTGTCTTTAGGTTATATGGCTTAATTACACATAATATACAACCTGAGCCTATGATGGAGGGGTTGACTTAGGCTTTGTCTTTCAAACTATTAAAGAGCTGAAGGAGGGGCCCCACCCATTTGCTGTCTGGCACAGAGCCCCTTTTCCTTTGTTCTCTTAATAGCCCATCTCCCAGGTAATTACCTCATGAGGAAGCTAGCCTGTTTTATATTTTAACACTTGCTGATTTAAGGGATTAAAGGATTCTGGCACCACAAACTCATAACAATGTAAAGAGGAAAGAGGGCAGGCCAATACATTGTTTTTCTTTTTGGTCGGCCATTTATAATTAGTGTTTTATTCTTCCTTTTACAATGTTCCGCTATACTATTTTTCTTACTTTGTTGCATTTTAGTTATTTGATTGTTTTAGGGTTTGTTTATTTTTAGTTTTGTAAACCATTGTAATATCTCCATGAATTGTGGTATATAAATACTTTAAACAAACAAACAAACAAACAAACAAACACACACACACACAAATAATAAGCTAAGTAGTATTTTTTACTTGTTTTTTAAAGCATAATTATACTGCCTTTTAACTATACATTCTTTGAGGTGGCAAAGCAGGTGGTGCTGTGGTCTAAACCACTGAGCCTTTGGTGATCGGAAGGTCGGCAGTTCGAATATGTGCAACGGAGTGAGCTCCCATTGCTCTGTCCCAGCTCCTGCCAACCTAGCAGTTCAAAAGCACACCAGTGCAAAGAGATAAATAGGTACCACTGTGGTTGGAAGGCAAACATCATTTCCGTGTGCTCTGGCTTTCATTATAATGTCCAGTTGCTCCAGAAGCGGTTCAGTCATGCTGGCCACATGACCCGGAAAGCTGTCTGTGGACAAACGCCAGCTTCTTCAGCCTGAAAAGCAAGATGAGCACCGCACCACATAGTCACCTTTGATTGGACTTAATAAAGAGGTCACCTTTGAGATGGCTTAAAATATTAATAACCAATAGGCTCAGTTTGCATTAAAATCCAATTAAAACATCACAAAACAGTGAGATATGTAAGCAAAACAACAAAAATAGCAGCAGATAAAAATAGCTTCCCAAACTGGAGCAGGAGCTGAGAAATGGAACCGCAAGAGAATAGCAGCTCAGCCATTCAATACGTAGGTGTAAAAAAACTGCCTTCATTTAGTCCCTAAAAGCCAATGATGACTTAGCACCTTATGATTCCATTGGGGGGAGGCTTCTGTAAATTGGACACCACTACAGAGATGACTTTCTTCCCTGTCAGCACCTACCTTATTTCTGCAGGTGAGGGTGCCTGGAGCAGGACTTCCAAAAAAGACAGCTTCACAGGGTCAAGCAGCACAAAAAACCCCCAATGATCTTTATAAAAGCCCCTCCAGACATCGTTTTCATTCTGTGTTCATGATTATGGTGCTATTGGAAGTGGCCATCACAATCCAGCTTTCAACGCTAGTTGCACCTGCAAGCATTTCAGGGTGGCCAGACTGCTTCGTTACTAATTGGTGTATATCCTGTAGCCTGAAATCCCATAACTTTTCACATCACAAATGTTCTGGGTTGTTGTTTTTTTATTGTCCTTCTTCTTGTTGCACCTGAGTCCTCTGGGCAGCAATAATGTGGGGACACTAGGAAAGCAGCCCAGAGCAACTAATAAAGCAGAATAAATCCACCACTAAGGCAATTCTTATTATGGCAAAAACATGCTGTGGAATATGCCCACAATAAGACACTTTGCTTGCGACACCACTTTTGAGAGCTGATCAAACTAGGCCCAAATAGTATCGAAGCTTCCTGACTGGCAAGCATGATGGTGAAGTGAAACTTGGGCAAGCCTAGACACACCTACTTCCTCCTTCGCATTACTTCCCCTTTCACTACCCTTTCTGAAGTCAGAATAGCTGCATCCAAGTGCTGAAGGAGCTGAGTTGTCGCTGAGAAGCCCTTCAAGCAGCCACCCATTATACGAATTGGATTGGCCATAATGCAAGGAGGTGAGATGGTCAGCCAAAGGACCAGCAGATCGAAACAGCCTGAGAGATTCATAATTGCTGCAGTGATCATCAACTTGAACTCTGGATGCCCAGGAAGTCTTCCCACATTAATCACATATTGTTTTGTTTGAATTAGGAGAGAGGAAAATCTCCCCAGAAGAGCCCAGGGGATAAGGGCTCTACCCTGACTGGGAGAGAGCGGTCGGAATACATGCGGTGGAAGAAGGAACGGGATCAGATTGACCTGGAGCGACTGGCACGCCACAAGAACGCAAGGGGGGAATGGCGGCGGGCTTGGGACACAGAAAAATCAGAGCACATGTAAGTTGTCTCCCAGTCAACACACACTCTGCAGGCTGTAGGCCAGGCGTGGCCAAACTTGGCCCTCCAGCTGTTTGGGGACTACAATTCCCATCATCCCTGACCACTGGTCCTGTTAGTTAGGGATGATGGGAGTTGTAGTCCCAAAACAGCTGGAGGGCCAAGTTTAGCCATGCCTGCTGTAGGTCATCTTTTACCAACCCAGTGCCCTCCAGATGTTTCGGACCCGGGCTTTTTCAGCCACAACTCACCAGAGCTCAGTTCTGGCACCTCTCAGGTGCCATTGCCATTCAAAGAGAACAAGGGAAGTGTTCATGGTGAGTTCCGGTATCTATTTTATAAAAAAAACAAAAACAGTTTTAGACTACAACTCCCATCAGCCTCCCTGTGCTTGCGCTTGATGGGGCTGGTGGGAATTGCAGTCCAAAACATCTAGAGGGTACCAGGCTGGCCAAGGCAGATTGTATCCTGCAAAGAGGTCAGTGATAGGAAAAATATCCTGGTGGGAGCTAGACAGCTGATGGGAAGTAATATGCTTCATGCTACTCTTGGGGCTTTGTGGACTTTATGGGGCTTGTGATTGCTAGAGAAAAAGGGTAGTATATCAATGTCTCTGCCTAAATAGATGGCTCAGAGTCAACTACCCACAGAGGATCCATTATAAGATGGACTCTCCTTCCTTGGAGGTTTTTAACCAGAGGTTGGATGGCTGTATGCCATGGATGCGTTAGTTGGGATTCCTGCATTGCCAGGGTTGGACTAGATGACCATTGGGGTCCCTTTCAGTGCTAAAATTCTATAATTCTATGAACATCAGGGCATGTGCAAGTTAAGGAGAAGAAGGCAACTCATGTTGATAAGAAAAGGGCCCCTTGTAAAGGAGGACATCACAATTTATATTCATTTAACTAAAAGCCAGTCTAATTTATTAGTGAATGCCCTCCATACAGCCCACAGGGATTCTGAAGGGAGATACTGGTTATTTTGTATTTTAATACTGACCTAAAAACACAGAATTTGCAGCCAGCCACTTGGCAAAACTGTTTGGCAGCAGTTTTCAGGGCAGGCAAAAGCAAGGACTGTTTCATAACAAGGGGTAGGTTCACACAGTCATTGTTAATGTGTTAAATTTAACATGACCTTTTGGGAAGATTCTTCTCTGCCCCAGCTTCAGACCTGAACTATTCTTCTTTCATTTGCAGGTTTGATGATACTAAAGATGGAGAGCCAGCTTTGGATTGTGTCCACAACAAGAAAGGTGAGCAAAGGACTGGACATGTTTACCAGCAACTGCTTTTCTGACTGCTTTTAACTGTTCTAGAATTGCTTTCCTTTTCCTTTTTGTGCTTAAATTGTGGATCTGTTGGCCTCCGCTCCCCAGACTCCTTCACGAGGAAGGACAAAATAGACATTCAATAAGTGAATAAATAAGTTGATGTCAGGTTCAAAAAAATGCAACTCTTGGATATCTTGTTTGCTTTGTCTCAGATATCCAGGCCTCTGCCAATGTGGCTCCAAGTCTCAAGGCTACTTCTTTCATACCTTTTTAAAGTCATGCCTTTGTCAGAAGCTGCTGGGCCCTTGTCACTCCCATCCCAGTTTTTCATGTCTTCATTTTGAGGTGTGACTCACAGTAGTAGTTTTATGTTGTTGAAGTGGATGGTGGAAGACACCCCTAAACCCGGTGTGCAAACTTTCAAGAGCAGTTGCCAAGCCAATCCTGTTTCTGTGTGGCTCTCTAGGTGGGGAAAAAAGCATGTGTGTGGGAATAGCAATGTTAAGCAGTGTGTCCAGTGTTTTGGAACGGGGGTTGGGGTTGGGGAATCATGGGCAACTCTCAAAGATTCTTGCACTGTGTTCTTTCTTTACTCATGTGAGTTCTTTATTTCTGTACCGGTTGGGGATATGAGACAGTTCCAGCGTTAAAGTGCAAATAAAACAATAATTTTTGTTCTGCACCATAAAGAAAAAGTCAGAGCACAGCTTGCTTCTTAGGGCTCTCATGTGTGCTGCACGGTATTCTCTTGAGATGTTCCCTAGAACTCCATCCCTGAACTCTGCATTCACCAGAAGGGACACTCCAATTGCCTATATTGACTAGGTCAAAATCCACTGTCTGCCTTTGTAATATAATGAACCATAGACTGACTATTGTGAAAATTGGAAAGTTTCTATCTTGGGGGTGGGGGTTAGAAAAGAGACAGAAGACAATGTGCAATGCCTCTAAGTGAGGCAGATAGAAATCAAATTCCATGTTCCGATTCACAAAACAAAAGATATTTGGAAGCAACTTTCCAATAAATGTTGAAGATTTTAACCTGCACATAGATTTCTAAAAAAAATTTCCCCTTTTTTTTTGCTCACCACTGTTATACTAGCTGTTTTTTTAATTCCCTTTTCACCAATTTTTATATTAGCTGATGAATCACCTGATCCTCCCTTTCCTAGATGTGCAAACTGTTTTTACATCAAATTAGGCAATCTGTGCTCTGCTGCTGCTGCTGCTGCTGCTGCTGCTGGGGGATGGAATTTGTTGTTACATGATCCTGCTCTGTTACATGCTTTGTCCTTTCAAGGAGGAAGAAATGCGAGGAAGTCCCAGCACCGAACCTTGCCTTCTGAAGGAAAAAGTGAGTAAGTCTCAGGAACAGGGCTGAGTTCAGTTCAGCCGTAATGTAAATGCTGGCTTTCTTTTCCATGTCAGAAGTATCACAAAAACATTTCCTAGATAGGAAGTTTTTGCCCCCAAGACCATCTTGCCATCACTCCAGGCCCATAGTTAATGTTCCATTTGTAGAGGCCCTGGATATCATGCAACTTTCCCTGACCTTCAGATGCTAATTGCAAATATTTATATGGGTTTATGCTTCCTTCCATTGCTATACTGCTGCTGCTATTTCTTGCACCTTTCTGTGACATCACAGCTCGCTGGGAATATTTGGGACACTGAAGTAAAGGAGAACTGAAATCCCCCTCCCCCAAAAGCAGAATTCATCGACCCTATACTATCTCTTTCCTTGCAAAGAGGGCACACTGCTGGCTAACAGCCAAGGACAAAGCTGACGAGAAGCAGAGCAGAAATGCTGTATGCTAGGAGGCAGGCTGGGAATGGTTCCATATAGGACAATCAGAGTGGGCACGTTGCAGGCGTTATAGTTTCCAGACATGTGAACCAAAGCTTTGCAACCAGGGAGCATTCTGGGAATAGTTGAAGAAGAGGACTGCACCAGGAAGTTCCAAGGACTTTGTGGCTGAATAGCCTACAGAGATGGCACAAGGGGTGGGGGGAGAGTGGTATTTGGATAACCAAAGAAGCAAGCAAGGAAATAACTGAATCAGGACAAAAAACACCCCCACTGTTTGATTTTGGAAGTTTGCTTAGGCATTTCTAGCCACCCTGCCTCCCCCTCTCCCTGCTATGAAGAGCCAGGCAATCTCCCACCTATACACTGACCAGATCCAGACCTGCTTAGCTTCAGCAAGCTTGCTGAGTGGCACACGCCTTCAGACCAAAATCCTGAAACCCCATGAAAGTGGACACTTTTATCTTTCTCAGTGCAATCCCCTCGTCCCTGGCTAACTGCATGGGTGACATCCAACTAAACAGGCCAGTGCAGTGACGTTCAGCTGCACAACGTAACTTCTCAACCTTCTCCTCATCCCATGCTCCCCCCTCAATCTGTTCCGGAGAGTAGGGGGAACCCCTGGAAAAGAGGTGCACAGGGAGAGAAAAAGGTGGGGAGGTTACACTAGAGCAAAACGCTTTAGCTGTGCAATGTAACTGTTTCATTGGATACCATCCAAGGATTCTGTGACACTTCTTCTTCCAGTCCTCATGGCTGCTGGGCCCTTCTTTAGCCATGGATGTCAGAACTGTGGCATATTGTGGCCTGGTGCTGGACTGGCTAGCCTCAGCTCATGGCATTTTTCTTTTAGGTGGAGGTCAGCACAGAAGAAGCACCAGTGAGTCTGCTGCCAGAACATTGCCAGTAGTGAGCAGTAAAGCCAGAGGGAAGGACAGACTAACAGGCAGAGCCAGAAGGTAAGAGAGCAGCTTTCAATGGGACTTCACTGCCTCTGGTGGGAGGCCTGCTCAGCCTATATGAGCATCTCCACTCAGGCCTTATCCACACTTCGGGTTGCCATATTTCAAAAAGTAAAAACCAGGACATCCTGAAATTTGTTGAGCTTTTTTACGGAAACCCCCAAGTTGTTGTGCTTCTTTAAGGAAAACCCAATTTTTCTACTGACTTGCCTAAGATCCAGGACAAAGCACCGCCTTTCAGAACCCCCCCCCATGTCAATTCCACCTTTGAAATCCTGGTAATGTCTGGGAAAAGCAAGTCATATGACAGCCTTGTCCACCCTTACCTTTTGCCCCATCCTTTCCAAGCTCAGCCCCATGCTTCAAAGCTCCGTATCCAAATGTTCTTTTTCCCCACCCTGGAGTGTTCCCCACGAAAACTCGCTCTATAAAGCAGAAGTGCAACAAATGGCAATTGAGGTTTTCAACAAATTGCCATTTGCTCCAATTCAGTGGTTTGTTGAAAGGGAGACGTCAGTAACACAAAATGCTAATGGAGACTGCTACTCCCAATTCTTAAGAAAAGTGAAGACTTCTTTACTTATTTGACACCAGATGTCAAAGAGAACAACAACTACCAGACTTTTAGAAGACATCTGAAGGCAGCCCTGTTTAGGGAACCTTTAATGTTTGATGAATTACTGTGTTTTAATATTTTGTTGAAAGCCGCTCAGAGTGGCTGGGGAAGCCCAGCCAGATGGATGGGGTATATTATTATTATTATTATTATTATTATTATTATTATTATTACAGTGCCATCCTAACCATGTGTATTCTGAAGTAAGTGCTGTTGAATTCAGTGAGGTTTACTCTTGGAATCAAATCTCATCCAACTATGTTGTACATTTCACAAATTAACTAAAACAAACTATTTGCAGAACAGTGTCCCTAGTGTCATAATGCACAGCCCATCTTCATACTCACTGCCACCATCTCCAGCTCATGTACTGTTCGATTAGTTGCTGATCTCAGAGCTCTTGCCATTCCAAAATTTGACTTTCAATGGACAAGCACTTTCTTCCCTTTAAAACTTACCAATTACAGTCCCTTTCGGTGGGTAGGGGGCAGTATCATGAATAAACTGTTTCAAGAATAGATTGTATCACTAAGGAAAATGCACATGAATACCCAAAGGCAATGACTCCAGGAAGATAATTGCAACAAATCATATTTCCTTTTTCCAGACTATACTGAAAATGAGTTCAGTTGCATGAGTAATTCTTTGTTAATCTGTCCCAAATCCGGAGTGGGGGCTAGAATAGTGCCAATAGGAGGTTTTTCCCCCTAGCTGCATAATTTTCGTCAGGATTGTGGCTGGGTAGGAAAGTGTTAAACTTTCTTTCTCCAGTACACTACAGTACTGGAGAGCCAGTGTGGTGTAGTGGTTAAGAGCGGTGGACTTGTAATCTGGTGAACCGGGTTTGCGTCTCCGCTCCTCCACATGCAGCTGCTGGGTGACCTTGGGCTAGTCACATTTCTCTGAAGCCTCTCAGCCCCACTCACCTCACAGAGTGTTTGTTGTGGGGGAGGAAGGGAAAGGAGAATGTTAGCCGCTTTGAGACTCCTTTGGGTAGTGATAAAGCAGGATATCAAATCCAAACTCTTCTACTGTGATCTTAGTGAAAATCCTCCTGCACCTGTAATTAAATAAAGCCTCCTGCCCTGCCCCCTTGCCCCACCCCACAAACATATCCTTAGTCAAGGAGTGCTAAGACAAGAAGCTAGAATTTGACTTACTCTTTTTGGAATTTTCTAGCTATTAGACCACACTATTGATAGAAGCAGTTTCTGTTTATTTGGTCTATAGATGTACATCAAAGATGGTGTGGCATTATCAGGGCAGTTACACTGTGGGGGGGGGGAGAGACGACAGTATACATATGCACAAATTGTGCATTTTAAAATGAGGCTATAACAGAATCCGCAAATGAACAGAAATTCCATGCAAGTATGATTAGATTCCTCCTATCCTAAATTCCATTAAAATCTAGTCCAGAACATCAGAATTGCTCTTAAAAGTGCCCTTGGCACATTGCCATTTGTCTCCTATGATTTTTCGTCTCAGAATTGTCCACATATGGACAGTAACACAACTGCAAAGCAGCACAGTATTTCCACGGCCACAGTGGGAATATGCAGCTTATATTAGGCAAGCAGTTGTTATGCATGAGAAGGGAAACTTATTCTAGGAGAAAGATGTTGTTGTTGGGCTTTTATGGCCCATTAAATATAGTCCGCTTATTCAACTTTATGTGTGTATCACAAATCACACTTGTTTTTTTATTCCTTGCTGGTGTTTGAGTTAGAGCTTTCAAATTAAATCGGTGTGTTTGGACTTGCCTTTATAAATGAGATTGTTCCTGAGACTTAGCCCTTGCCCGTACAGCAAACTTAAATCTCTTGCTTCTTCCTATAAGTAGCATTGCTTCTGTCTGTAATTAGGAGCAATTATGCCATTTTTATTTCTCGCAGCATAAAAATGCTTTAGGAAAAGGGTGAAAATACAGCTACATTTGCATTTTAAAGCTCCACTGGAGTGGGAAAACAAAGCAAACCTGTAAGACCAACCACCACAGCACAGGCAAACAAAAAAATATAGATACGGTTTGTTAAATCAGGGGTAATGAATGGCTTATTCTTTTATCAGCTTTGACTTGAGCTCCCCTACCCTGAAACCTGATAAATTAGATAAGGGGTCAGCAACCTTTTGCAGCCATGGACCGGTCCACCATCCCTCAGACCATGTGGTGGGCCAGACTATATTTGGGGGGGGGGGGAGAACAAATTCCTATGCCCCACCCAGAGATGCATTTTAAATAAAAGCACACATTCTACTCATGAAAAACACTCTGATTCCTGGACCATAAACGCGCCGGATTGAGAAGGCGATCGGGCCGCATCCGGCCCCCGGGCCTTAGGTTGCCTACCCCTGAACTAGATAACACCATAGCAGTACTTGGAAAGCAGTTCTCCCCCACTTGTAATCATCGGGGCAGAAGCTGAGGCTGGAAGGCAAGAAGTGATCATTGAGTCTGGTAATAAAGTAAACAGTGGGGAGCAAGAGAAGAATGGTAACTCTGATCACAATACCCACCGTGTAACCACCTTCAGTGCCACCATAAGATATATACAAGGTTATAGCCACATCCATAAAATACTACTGTCCCCCTCTCATGAAAGTGTAATGAAGTCCTTCTTGCTGGAGACACAATTCCCAGCCCAGAGAGTGTAATTTGAGCACCAGAATCAGGTCATTTGCAAACCCAGCTTCTCCAAGCACACCAAGGTGGAGCTCGCCCTCCAGCAGAAGAGTGTGAGTGCCCCATCTCACAGTGCTTCGCCAACAGCAGGTGTTGTCCAGCAGTGGCAGTGGTGAAATTGCATTTATTTCAGAAAGGCAGTTTCCCACCCACCTCCTAGAGTGGTACGAATAGCAATTCCCCATAGGAGTTCAGAGTAGTGGCAACAGCGCTGCTCAGTATCCAACAGTGCTGCTGCTTCCGCCACCAACCTCTGCTGATGAGGTTTATTTAATTTTTTTATAACCACCCACCTACCTGCTGACACACCTGAAGTGGCAGCATGGTGATGTAAACATTAATGACTGAAGTCCGTAGCACAGACTGGGTACCAACGGTGCTAGAACTTATATAAAAATAGTAATGCACATGTGACCTGAAAACAGGTACAAAAGAACAGCTGCCAGTGGAACAAATGAACAGGAAAAATCTCAGCTTCGTGTTCATTAATCTCTTTTTCTAAAAGGCATTAGCAACGCCCTCGTTCTGTGTTAATACAGTACTGTAAGATTGGGGTTTAAACAGAAGGGCTTTAATGAGTCCAGGAGTAGTGCTAGAGATTGACAACAGTCCTAGCCAAGTTGCCAAGTAACAACTCCCCCCTATAGTTTTGGAGATTGGCTGATAGTTCTAAACTGCTGCTGTTCACAATGGCTAGGAAATATCTGAAGGGGAAATAACTGTTATGAATTGGGGGGGGGAGGGGCTGTACGCCCTTCTAATTCCTGGATCCAGCAAGTGTTAAAATCTGAGCAAAGATTCAGATTCCTGGAATAGTCAGGCTAGTTTCCTGGTGAGGTAATGGGTCATTAAGGAAACAAAGGGAGTGACTCTGTGCCAGATGCCAAATGGCACAAACTTGCTGGTAGTTAGAAAGACAAAAGTCAGAGTGGAGAGTGGCATGATGTGAGCTAGAAGCTGGAAGCTGGAAGCAGCAGGCTGGGAAGCTAGAGAGTCAAAGCAATGCCTTTTTCTGGCGGAATCAAAGGCTGTGGCTATGGGAGAAGGAAGACCCTCTTGGGGTGTTAATGCTGCGAGCCCCTCCATCATAGGCTGAGGTTGTATATATGTGTAAATAAACCACATATCCTAAAGACACCACAGTCTTCTCTGTGTCTCATTCCAAGAAAACTCAACCCTGGGTAAGCACCTGGAACCCCTGGAAACTTGCACCGCTCAGAGATTGGGGTGGCATGCAACATAATTCTTGCATGCACCCCCAGCTAAGAATGAGGTGATCTCCCTGTGAAGAGAAATTGCCTTGACAGTGACAAAGTCTGGCACATAAATGGAGATTCCTTCCAAACCTCCTGTCCGTTGAGCATTCATCCCAATTTGGTTGCACAACATTTGTGGGAAGGTTCAAAGAGGGCCATTTAGTGAGCATTCTCAGGGAGGTGATGCAATTTTCTGTCAAGCAAGTGGTATTCCACATTTCCTACTGCATTTTACTGTCACTTTCCTTATTGCAAAGTCCAATTTGAGTGGGGAGGGAGAGACAATTCAGCTTTAGTTGTGCAACCTGAATTTGTCAGTATGAACTAAGATAGTGAACTTTCCTCTATCACTCCATCTGCACACTGAGGAAAACTGAGTCACTTGGATTTCTGCTTTCCTGGAAAAAGTGCTCCAATTAGTTGTATTTTCCCTTGTATACTGAAGAATATAACCTCCCTGTAAATATACTGTACACATTGCTTTGCTAAATTTTGTACTATTTTAATAGAAACTTGAATAGAGTCTGTGTCAGGAAAAGAGGCAGCAACTCACTTGTTACTTGCTCTGTGTGTGTGAAATAGAAGATACTCTGGAATACATTCCTTCTCTTGGTGTTAGTTCGCAAACTGTGGCAGACAGCTCCATAAATCACTGGTACATGCTGTTAGTCTAATGACAAATGTCTGGGAATAGAAATTTGATTTTATGGTTTTTATTATATTACAGTTTTAACAATCAGCTTGTGAAAGATTAATGGCCCCTGATGAACCTTTGGAATTAAGATGAATATGCTCTTTAGATGCTGCGAGTGCAAACGTTGTGATGAATCTGGACAATCTGAGCCTCTTTATAAGAAGGATTGCAGCAAGAGCTAACATGGTTTATAGGCAGTTTCCAAAAACGGAGGCAAGCATGAGCAAGAGCAGACCTCCTGTGCTCTCACTCCCTGGTTTTTGAGAACTGCTTAAAGAAACAATAACAAGGAACACAGACTTAATCCCAACTCAGACTCCTCATCCTCTGATATCATAGTAGATAGTCAGTGGTTACATGCTTCACCTTTTCTTCTTAATGACTGGTTGTTACTGGTGGAAAACATGGAATCTTGTCTAAGGTTGTGTTCAAGACCCTCTGCTCTGCAAGGAGATGGAGCTCCCATATTAGGCAGAACAGCTATTATCCAAAAGGGAGTCCTATCAACATTTGACAACCCTCATTTTTTGTGTGATGTTTTACAGATGGGATGCCAAGGAAGGTGAAGAAATGCCCTTTGTAAAGGATGAACCTGATAAGCAGGTGAGTCTGCTCTATAAAGTGTTGCTTAGATCAGGAGTGGGGAACCTTTTCTGGTTCTGTGGGCCAGATCCTTATCAGCATCTATCCTCGCAGGCCAACTGTGATGGGTGGGTAGGGCCACCCACCTGTCCTTTTGGAGCTCTTTGCAATCCATTTTTGTTTTAACAACCCTGGATAATTTGGTTTCATCAGCAAGCTTTGCCACCTCAGGTGGGCATGCTTTGAGGGAAACAGGCTCCTGAGAGAGGTTGGCAACGCTGGCAAGCCAGGTTTGGTCCACTGAGCAGAAGTGCCTTACCAAACAAAATAACACCAACCCTTGTACGTTGCATTACTTCAGAAGAGATACAGCCCTTGGTTCTTAAGTCATCAAAGTAGGGTAGTGTCTTCCATTAACTGGGGGCCAAGCTGGATGAGATTCTCACTAATGCCTTACCAAGCTCCTGGAGGTTTATGTTTCTTGAACTGAAATGCATTTAACAGATCTGACTGGAGTAAGGTGGTGGAGGAGAGAAAGAAGATGCTTAACTCTTTCCCCTCACACTGCTTTAGTGTAGATACACACAGAGAAACACATCTAGATGCTTTCCCTCCCGTGATGGGAAAGAAATGATTCTGTATCCTCCCTGCCCAGCCTCAAGGATTGGGTTGTAGCTATGATGTAGCTATGAACTCTGCTGTCACTGCTCCCAGATTTTCAGCTTCATATAGCTACATTTCAGTTAAAAGCAGCAGCAGCAGATTGATCAAACAGCTCCGAGCATCCCTTCTACTTTGGCACACAGAGGCTTGCACTGGGAAGGTGAGAAAAGCTAATCCTTTAACCAATGCTTATGAGTATGAGGGAAGATCCCTGTGTTACCAGAGTGGCCTGGGAATTTCTTCAACGTTGCCTAGTCCCAGGTCACTCCAGGGCCGCTGAATAATTCTTTATTACAATAAAACAATTATCTTATATTGTGTATATAATATATGCTGTCTCTCCAATAATAAATCATTAATAGGCCATGCAATGTATTTCAAAAGATGCCAAATTGATTTTGAAGGGTTTGGCCTAATATGGAGATGTTTGTGTAAATGATAAATTATTTCATTGCAATGAAGAACTGTGCATATTTTAAAGTACTGTACATTTTCCCACTCTGGTTGCTAGGTGTGTTTTTTTTAAGGGCCATTTGCACCTCAGTTTTTTTTGCACGCCCCAGCACTGCTTATAAACAGGAATTATGTGAGCCAGACAAATCATTTCCTGCGTCAAGTGTGGTGTAGTGGTTAGAGTGCTGGGCTAGGACCAGGTCCAAATCCCAACTAAGGCTGCAATCCTATAACCCCATGTTGCCTTTGAATTCAACAGGGTATAGTTCTAAGCAGGAATGATTAGGATTATGTTCTAAGCCATGAAGCTCACAGAAGAAGGAGAAGGAGAAGGAGAAGGAGAAGGAGAAGGAGAAGGAGAAGGAGAAGAAGTTGTATACTGCCCTAGACTCCTTAGGGTAGTGATAAAGCGGGATATCAAATCCAAACTCTTTTCTTCTTCTATACCCGCAAGTCTCAGTAGCTGTGCTTTAGTTTTCTCTCTAGTGAAAGGGAGACTTTAGTCACCTCTGCTAGCCAGCTACTGATACCAAAAGCTTTGTCTGTTGTTTCTTTAAGTCAATTGTGTAATAAGTAACGAAGCAAAGTTTTGTCTTCTGTCATACTAGAGATCCTCGACCAATGAGCAACTGAAAAAACAAGCTCTGGCTAGTGAAGCAGTCAAGGAGCATAACTTCCCAGCAGGCCTAGAGAATAATATAAAGCCCCCAGAACACAGTGCTCCCTTGCCTCAAGCCCAAAGAGATGAATGGAACCAATCTGCAGGTGAAGAGCAGGGTGCAAATGAAAAAGCCAGGAGGTGCCTAACCCAGGGCATGTCTGCCGCAATCAGAGCGGATGAGACCGGGGCAGATCTCAAACTCAGTAAGTCAGTAACTGGGACTGATTTGTCTCCCAAGGGCAACTATATGAATAGCAGCTCTTCTCAGGGAGCGCCTGGGAATGTGGTGCAGACTTCTGGGTGCGACCTTCAAGAAATCAATTCCATAGTCTATGAAGGTGGCTTAGACAAAAGTGCGTATTGTGAATGGAACCCTTGTGGGGAGAAGGCAGGAAACAGTAGTGAGCTGTTGAACAAGGAAGGAGGAGGTGGTGAAGGCCAAGGGCTGATAACAGTAGGACAAGTAGAAGAGAACCAAGTTGGTGGCCTCCAGAAGGAGATAATACCTGCGAAAGAAAGTGACACCGCAGCCTGCCTTGTTCGAACAGAGGAGTCCAGGCCTCCATGTAAAGAAATTCCAGACCCAACAAATGAATATGCACAGGAAGGGGCACAAATGAGGAACAAGGAAGAAGACCAACCCCAGTCGTGCAGTAACAAAGCACAGGATTAAGACCGAACACACAGGGCTCCGTAGAGGCCAAAGGTGAGTGCAATGCTAGCCCCTCCACTTGGCGTTTTATGTAGATTTCTAGCCTGCTCTGTCCCAAGAGCTCAAGCCTGGTAGCTCAGTTACACCTAAAAAGTTACACCATCCAGGAAGTTCTCCTGCCCATCCCCTACTGAAATGAATCATACTTGGCTCTTGCACTGGTAGGACTGTTTTCATTCATTACACTGAGGTTTAAACAGAAGAACCCCCTCGTGGATTCAGTCCTTGTCCTTTAGGAGCACAGCTCACAATATTTGACTGGCCACTTTATGTTGAAGAGCTAGGCGTTATTGTGATGACTCTTGGAAGCTGCATTTTCTATAGGTTGGTCAATTCCCACTTACTAGGCACAGATCCTAACATTACATGAATGAATCTGCCATTACGCTGCTAAACGGTTCACAGCAAAAGATAGTAAGCAACAACCAGCTTCCAAATGATTACAAGCTGTAATGAGAATGCAACTCTCTTCTTCAAAGCTGCAACTCTTAATCTTGGGCAACTCTGCTGTGATCCTACTAAAGATCATCAAGACCTTTCATTCATTTGTTCAGATTATCTAGTTGGGGGTGAAAAGGAAAACCCCTGCAGAAGCAGAATGCTCTGCTCCAGCAGTGAATGCAGTATGGGAGGTCTTTTCTTCCAGGTTATACTTTCCAGACTTTTAGGTTTCAAACAAACATATTAAGCTGCCATTCCCAACCTTGTTCCAAGCTGTTTCCTTCCCAGAAAACCACCAATATCCACAGAGCAAAGCTGAGAAACGTTGAGTAAAATGGCTAAACTAAGATTTTTCATGCATTCTTTTACACACACTAATCTTCTCCCTCCAGTGAAATGAATGGGGCAACCAAAGTGCAGTAGAACTCCATGCACAAATCAATGCTGTGAGATGACTCTAGTGTTAGAGCAGGGGCCTTAGGCAACATGGAGATGGCAAGCTGCCCAAGGCTGGCCCAATTAGCCACATGTAAAGTTAGAACTTGATTTCCTTTTCAAAAACTAAATAAATAAATTGAATTTACCATTTAATTTTAAAGATGTTTATTTTAAAAAATGTTCAATTGTTTATACCCACTACAAGACTATTCAGCATCTAAGTAAATAACACGGGAAGTCTCAGATTTTGAAATGGATCATATGATATTTCAAACGTAGGTAAACCTTTGAAGAGCCGAATAATCATGCTTTTGAAATGTTAAAGCAGTTTAGTGTGCTTACAACCCATGTTAAAACAATGTCAATGCAAATTGTTAACACACACACACGGCTTTGCAGTATTCTTTTTGTGTTTTATAATTTATTTTATTTTATATTAGTCCTGGTCTTCTGATCTGCAGATACAAGAAATGGTGCTAAGAGGAACCATTAGAGAAACTATAGCAAAACCCTTTGCTTGTAACATGAAGTTTCTTTTTTATCATTATCACCATCAATCACTATTACTTATTAATAAGACTTGTCTAACTTGATGATCTGAAATTGCCTTAGGTTAAAAAAAAAAGACTTGGTAGAATGTTGAGGTTCCTGCTCGTCCCACACATTTCATGTCAAGTTGTAAGACCATCTTTCTTCATATTGCCATCCATCAGTGGAGCCCTTATGTCGGTGACAGATTTCACACATAGAGCTGTTAGCTGTGACCCATTTCTCGAAGGAAACAACTCAGGAACATGTGACTTTAATGCTTCGCAGCCGGTACCTTATCCATTGATGCAATTTCTGTCAGAGAACAAGGAAATGCTGCTTTTTTATTCAGAATAAAGATTGCCTCCAAAAGCTGCCCAAGCATTTTCCCCAGGCCTAAAGAACATTACCTCCAACCCTTAGCACCATTTATACATGCCACTGTATAAAATAATATGCACAGACTAACAGACACTCTGGATAATACATAATGGTTGAAGCAGACAAAACAGAGGCAGGGAAGAGCCTTTTTTGCCCTCATCTTCTACCAACCCATCCCTCAGCTGCTTGCTAGAATCTGTCCCTGGTAGCTGCCTCCATGGGCATGGCCAGGACTTTTGTTTGGGGGGGCAGAACAGACGTGATTGGTCAGTTAAGTATTTCTATTGTTTTACTTGATTGGGCGCGGGGGGCGGCAGGTGCCCCCCTGCCCTCCCCTTGGCTATGCTCATGGTGTCTGCCACTGCCAGAGCAATCACACTGAACTCAGGAAATCTGAAGGGTCAGTGTGGGGTATTGTGAGTGTCAGACTAGGATTCCGCAGATCCTTACTCGCTGAGCTCAAACTCCCACTCAGCCATGACAGTCGCTGGCTGACGTTTGTGGAAGGGACATAACTCATCAGAAGAAGGCCTTAGGATGAATCTCTGGCATCTTCAGGTAGGGCTGGCAAAGGTTCTGAAACTCATCTATCCCACATGTTATTCACTTGAGGAAGACGCAATACACACCCCCAGGCAGATCCCACCTTGCAAGAATGTTCATTTCACTCTGCCCCAGTTGGCACCAGAACCCTAACGAGAATGTTTTCGAAAGTCATGTTTGTTCTTAAAATTCAGCAGAATAATATATAGATTATCATCATGGCCAAGAAGGGGCAAAAGAACCTCTTACTTAGCAATAAGAAATATCCTGGATGTACACACATGTATAAACTTCATTTCTCACTTGCCCCCAGCAGACAAATTGAGAAGTGCTCGTCTTTCACTCTCAGGCATATGCACAGAAGGAGGGAAGAGCTGGGGCATAGGGATCCTCTCCTTGCAAGGGCTAGCCCAGTCGGTACAGCATGAGACTCTTCATCTCAAGGTCATTGGTTCAAGCCCCATGGTGGACAAAGGATTCCTGCATTGTAGCAGGTTCGACTAGATGATTCTCGGGATCCCTTTCCAAATTTATGAAATAAACAGGTTACTGTAAATGGTGGGTTTTCCTTTCCTGTGGTGTCCGGCTCCTCCCCCAATAATTGTTTCAAAAGATTTACATGTAGAATCTGCAACAAGATGTTGCAGTGTGGACTGCTGCTGTTCACAATTCCAGCCACTCCATTCCATTTCCCATTTTGCCATGGTTTTCCTTCCCATGAGAAGAGCCTGCTGGATCAGGCCAATAGCCCATCTAAGTCCAGCATCCTGTTCCCTCAGTGGCCAACCAGGTGTCTGTGGGAAGCCCTCTCCCCCTCAGACAGACAGACAACCTTCCATGGCCAACAGAGTCAGTTTGAAAATCCTGCTGGAGGCTAAGTGCAGCCAGTACCTCTAGCCTTTCTTCACATGAGTTGCTGTCTTAAAACTTGATCATCCTCATAGATAGATAAAACTTTATTCACATTAGCCAATGGCCATAGAAACAGTAAAACATTACAGTATACGCAGAAAAGGAAATTTGATATAAGAGCACAATTTAAAGTCCTGAATCAGCAGTCAGTTAGTGGTGATCGTCCCATAGCTGCTCTCATCCTCTGCTTCAAAATGACAATAACCCAAAGCATAAGCCCAGAATCCCCTGCAGAACTCCCCCCCCCGCCCCCATTTTAAAGTAAGAGGGCCAGGGAAATCAACAAAGGAAACAAACTACAAAAGCTTTTCATTCAGTTATATCAAACCAATTAATTTCAGACTCTCCAGAGAAAATACAGCTGGGGTAAACTTCCAAAGCACAGTGGGGTGCTGACGTCAGCGTTCTCCCCTGACGTAAACAAGAGCAGTACAGCCAAAGTCTTGCGAGCTGCGGAGGTCAGTCTTAGAATGCAAGACAATGCTGAAGGAGTTGGCATTATTGAGCAGTACACGGAATTCCTCTTCTGATTAAAAGCACAGGAACTTAGGCAATAGAAATGTTAACTCCCACCCCGCTCCGTTCCTCCCTTATATCTGAAAGGAAGTGGGTATAATATATTAGCTAGAAACTGGGGTTTTTTGTTTTGTTTTTTAAAAAAGAGGTTCTTAGAATTTGCACAGAAAGATCATGGAATAGAAATGACAGCTACATGGCCCATTTTTTAATACCTCTTAATGCTAAGCCATTTGTAGTAAAATCTGCAGTGCTTACAGCAGAATGGATTGTACTGCAAGGTATAGGACTGCAGCCTTACTCAGAAATATTTATTGGGGGGGTCATGGCAGATTTGGGGGGGAAGGCTTTTCCTTACCTGCCAACACCCATTTTGTGTAAGAGTTGCCCCGAAAGAATTATAATGGGCTGCCACACCCTAGTCAGTCCAATTGCTTGGGGAGATCCTGAGCCCTGCTGCCAGGGACTTCTCCCTTCAGCCAGCTTCAGGAAAAAATAAACAAGGAGATGAGCTTTGTATTTACTATACTTCCCTGAAGCCCAGAGGAAACCACTTAACAAAGAACCTTTTGAAATGTCCCTATGATGCAAGGGATAAAGTGTGTCCCAGTGGAGGAGGAAGATAATAATATTATTATTATAAGATAATAATATTATTATTTATGTATACCCTGCCCGTCTGGCTGGGTTTCCCCAGCCACTCTGGGCAGCTCCCAACAGAATATTAAAAACACAATAAAACATCAAACATTAAAAACTTCTCTAAACAGCCAGGACCGCCTACTGAACTGGCTGTAAGCAAGAAAGCAGGGGAGTGGGGCTGGCTGGCGTTGGTGGGGCTGTGCCCCATTTACCCTAATAGGCTAGCCTCCACAGGTACTAAGCTTCACAGCAAGTACATAAAACCAGCTCCTTGATGACTGACTCCGCCTATGCCAAGTAATTGACTTTTGGGGGTGGGGGTGGGGAGAGGAGATGAGAAAGGTTCAAGTTGTCCATTAGGGGGTGTTTACAGCGTGCTCATCCTCACAGCATCTGAACCTCTCAGTGATCAGCAACTTGTGCTGGACAGACTCTCAGCTGGGCGAGTAGCTCACAGGAGAGGCCTGCTGCAGCTTTAATTTGCCACACAGCAGTTCCTGACCCTCCTGATGTTGCCTTTGTTTGTTTTCCAGGACAACTTGCTAAAGCAAATCTGGTTGCAAAAGAAGATGAGCACAATCTCCCCCTCTGACACTGACCTTCAGCACCTGACCTTCAGCTCCCAGCGGCGCCTCCCCCTGCAGGTGATGTTTACCTGTCTAGAAGCCACTTGTGCCCTAAATTGTCTACTCAGTGCCGAAGGACAGAAAAGGCCTACTTACAAGCAGCCTCCTGAGGAGAAAGGAAAGGAAATCATGGCACTTGTATTTTGTACCTAACTCCCCCCTACCCTTTATATTGTGGGCATGTGATGGGCCATGAGTTGTCTACTGTATGCACTTTATTTTACTGAATAACTAATGATATTTATAAGTTGGGTTTGCTTTGAAGATAATTTCATTTATTTTTCTCCTCACCACTGGCCAACGGATCTACTTCCAAAACCAAGTGGCAAACTTTACAGAGTTTGGGCTGGGCTTGAGTTTTATGGATGTTCGGCCAGTTAGAGACAATGAAGAAGAAACCATTTTCTTAACAATAAAGGTGGCTGAGGAGATAGTAGATCCAGCAGCCAGGAAGACTGTGTTATGGCTTTGCACAAGTGTGGCAGAATGATGAGAAGGGACCAGTGGTGTCACAGGTTCCACACAACTGATGGCTACAAGTTCATTGAGGTTTCTCTAGAATGCTTTCTCTCTTTAACCTTCCTGGTTTTGAACCTGTGACTATCATTAACTTCCTCATTTAATACAGGAAACAGTACTCCCTTCCTAAGTATTTTGGCTCTAAGAGGAGGCAGCTCCTTCTCGCTGCTGCCTGTTCTCTTGGCCTCTCCCTTTGAGGCTAGAGGGAAAGTTGATGGTCATGTGTGTATGAAGGAAACAGGCAAATCGTTATCATTCCCAATAGCAAAACATCCAGACTGAACTTGATTTTGGCTTCACATTCGTTATCATTCCCAGTAGCAAAACATCCAGACTGAACTCCTTGATTTTGGCTTCACTCTCAAATCAAAACATGGTGGAAGAGAAACCAGATGTGCAAAAACATACGTTTGTTTGTTTGTTTGTTTCTTGTATGTGGTTATGTTGTAAATGGCTGTGATGTTAGAGCAGAGATGAACGGAATCCAAAAAGTAATTTTGGCACCTCCTGTGAAAGCACTCAAAGGTTTAGTGGATTGCAAACAGAAGTACTAGGCGGACCAGACAGCACCGAGATATGACCGTGCCACTTGCTGGCCTGCAGGATTCCCTGTACCTGGGAAATGGTATTGCAGCATAATTCCATAAAGCAGAACAAAGTTTGCAAAGCATTGTCTCCTCACTTCTAGGATATGATAGGAGCCAATTGCACTTGAGCACTGGGGTTTTGTGAAACAATCTAGCTACGTGTGAGAAATGGCCGGCAGAGGCGACTCCAAGCACCAGCAGCAAATGTCTGCATTATGGATTGGCTCCCTAAAAATGCAGTGGGCACAATCCAGCTGAAGTTACACACCGTTGCAACTCATTGATTCCAATTATAATGTTGAAGAATGTGCTCAGCACTCCTCACCCAGGAAAACAACAGGACCTGATCCCAGATCACTTTTGAACTTGCTCATAAGTGATCTGGAGTAAGGGGTGAGCACGGAGATGACCAAGTTTGCTGACAACACCAATTTTTGTTCAAGGTAGTAAAAACAAAAAGGGATTGCGAGGAGCTCCAGAAGAATTTGTCTGACCTGGGTAAATGTGCATTAAAATGGCAAATCTGGTTCAATGTAAGCAAGTGTAAAGTGATGCATACTGATTGGAGGGGGGGTGGAATTACTAACTTTACATACGGTTTGGCAGGGCCCGAGGAAAAGGAAACTAACGAGGGGGGAAAGATGTAAGTTATGGTGGATTGTGCAATGAAGATGTTGACCCAGTTCACAGCAGCTGTGAAAAGGTGACATCCATGCTGGGGACAATTAGGGAAGGGGTTGAAAATAAAACTGCCAGTATTGCAGTGTCAAACTATTTTATGATGGGGCCCGCTTGGAATACTCTGCATAGTTCTGGCCCCACATCTCAAAGAGGATATTGTAGAGCTGGAAAAGGGCAACTAAAATTATATTAGTGCTGAAACCCCTCCACGGAACCGGGGCTTTTAAATTTAGTAAAAAGGAAAGTAAGGCAGGGCAGGATAGGATAGTTTTATAAAATTATGCATTGTGTTCAGAAAGTGGGTGTAAGTTTTTTCTCCCACTTTCATAACACTAGAACTCAGACTCATCCACTAAGGCAAAATGATGGGAGATTCAGAACAGACAAAAGGAAGTAGAGCACAAAGTTAACCTAAGGAATCTACTACTAGCAGATGTGGCAACGGCAATCAAATTAGATGGCTTTGAAAGGAGAAGGGATTTAATTTGTGACAATTTAATATGAAAGAGAGATGCCATTATTATATAAAGTAAATTAATAGATTAAGTGTTATAGAGAGCTGAATAATCCAGGGTGTGTGTGGATGCTGTTTGCGTCTGATAGGTCAGAAGAGAACGCCATGTTGTGGGCACAGCAGTCATATGGGACTTATACAACAGTGTATCCCTGATGCACTGGTAAGGAGTAAAACACAATATTAATTCTTTCACTAGATCGATTCTAAAAGGTAATGTTCAAGTGTGCAGAATTACACACAGCTTACACCCAGTTGAAATTCCAGCTTTCAAGGGAGCATGCTAGACACAAGCTTTCTCTAATTTTTGCTGGGTTAAAGAGGTATCAGCACCAGAAATCTGTCACATTAGAATTGTTCTCCCCGTGATGCCAGCATTCAGAAAAGACGTACCTGCTAGAACATCCTTACCTCCAGCAGACCTATTGTTATTTATGACCACTATGTGGCTGGGGAGAGAGGTTGCAAAAGAAGGGCTCTGCATTTTTTTTGCAAGAGATGTCTGGACGTCCATAGCTATCCCGTGACCCAGTATTTTCAGTGAAGCAAAGCAGCATATCTGGAGTATGCATGCAGAGATATTTGCTTGGCTTCTCAGCAACAAACTCTTACTAGCCCTAATAGTAATTGTGCTTTACTTCTGGCCAGAATAATGAGAAGCATTGCATTTGGTATTGTTCAACTAGCAAATGTGCTTTGGTTTTCCCACTTTCTCAAATGGAAAGCACTCAGATGGCTTCTGGAGAATCCACAATCTGTTCAGGAGGGGTTTGCAATCCCCATAGGCAGCCTGTTAGCAAGAAAGCGGAGAGTGTTGCGCAATTAGCATGTGCTTCAGTAAAAATAATAGTTTGAATTTGTGAGAGCCAACACTGGCCTCCTTTGGAAACAAACAGATCAAATGAGTCATGATAAATGATTTTTAGGTTTGAAAGTTCTTAACCCGGACAGATTTGATTCCTATGTCCCATAACACTCAGCATTGATTGATTTGTGAATATATATAGACACATTACTAGATTATGAACTTGAAACTTTTTTAAAAAAATAATAATAATCCCACTTTTCACCATGTAGGGCACATGGTATAGCTGAAAGAAAAATAAGCACAATCCTCATTGATTTTCAGTGGGACTGCAACACACATAAATGCTTTTTGTATGTATCGGTTGTTAGAAAATGAATTTGTTTATATATTACTTAACATAATTTTGAGCAGGATTTCCACCTGTTGTTCTTCTAGCATATTTCTGAGTCATCTTAATAGTGCAGTATGGAAAACTTGAATTGCTAGGTTGCCTTGTTGGCAAGAGAGAGAGAGAGAGAGAGAGAGAGAGAGAGAGAGAGCGCGCGAGCGAGCGCTATTCTCAAGCCTAATAATAAGCTCCATTAAGTTCCACTTAAGTTCACTTATGGAAGAGGAACTGTTAGTCAGCCTTTTGTCGCAGAAGATCAAAATCAAGTAAAATCCAGCAAAACAGTAAGACACATATGGGCAGGAGAAAACAATGAAATGTATGAAAAGGCACTACGGGATGGTGCCTTATCAAAAACACTGGTCCTTCCCAAGTATAGAATCTTTAAGCATACCTGCACAGTTTTATAACAGTCTGTTGAGGCTTTCCCTGAGAATTGTCTTAGAGATCCTTTCTCTCTGCCCCTGCCACCAGCCCTACCATTTAAAAACTAGCATTCCCTTTGAAGAGAGAATTGATATTAAATCTGTTTAAGGCTACGTACACATTAGTGGCTTAACACAGCAAGGCCATTTCTACCCACTCACCCAAGTTATGTTTTTACATTGCTGTATACAGCAGAGAGGGGGCAGGGATGTCTTCACTCAATGTGCAATACCTGTTTGTTGCCCTGCACCCGCAACCCCCCTGAACGTCTCTTCATTGAAGCTGTCATCTGCACACGTGCAACAGCCACCTCAAACGGACACACCTCAGCTTACATTTTCAAGTTGGATGGAAGCTGGTTTGAAGGAACAGACATTAGACAGCAGTATTTCTCAATAAACTACAGGATACCTATGGATTGTGGCTAACAGCATGTGTGCTCTGCTCCAAACACCATCGGTGGGAACGCACTGGAGTAAATGGAAATGTGTCCACCGTCTAAGACTGCACTGTTAATAGTACCGATTGAAGGGTCTGCATTAACTCTGCTTATTGACATTTTTTAAATATAAAAAAAACCTTGATCCTGATTCTTGTTTTCCAGAATTTAAATGTGATGTTTGAGAGGCGAGTGAAATGATTACGAAATACCGTGATTATTTTTGTTAAATAAATGTTTGAAGTAAAGAAAAGTTTCGTGGCTTAAAAGATGCTTAGGGGGAGTTTTGAGAGATTAGCAACTGCTACATTGTTAGGAACAAATAAAAGATTTCGCTAAAATGCAGGTAAACAACCGTTTTCAAAACAAAGATTGACTCCTTGATGTTTACGGAGCTGTGTTCTCCATTCCCAGAAATAGTTGTGGCTGTACAGAACACCACCCAGAACATCTTTTCAGCAAAACAAAATGAGCAGCTCCCTCCTCAGGAGTTTCAGAGCCAATTCACATTATCCTCGTAATGAGGGAACCTGGGACCTTGTGCATACAAAGCAGATGCTCTTCCGCTGAGCTAAAGCTCTTCCCTTGTAACATTGTATGGTAAAAGCACCTGCACAGCTGCATAACCTATATGCAAATATCTAGAATACTTGGAGGTGGTTGAAAAAGGAGTTAGCTAGACTGGCACACTCTGGCCACCTCAGATCTAGCCAATGCAGGTCTTCAGTGGTCTGGATGTGCCACTCCACCTGGCACCTTCCTCCTCCTTGCCAGCCTTCTGGTTATTGACATGTAACCATTGGGAACCCCCCTCCCCCCTTGACATTTCCCAGGATCCTTTATCAGATTCCTGTGTCTGCTTGTGGATGAGTGTAAACAAGCATGATGGTCCAGATGAGTGGGGCTGGACAAATTGCAGCAGGTAGGTCAGACTCAATGGTGTGGAGAACAAGACCTAGGAGGACAGGTTGAAGGACCTGGGTATCTTCAGCCAGGAGAGGACAAGATGCAGAGAGGACATGGCAGAATCATTCAAATACTTGAAAGGCTGTCATATAGAAGAGGACAAAGACTCTCTTCTTCCCCAGAGGGCAGAAACAGATTTAATGGGCTTAGGTGACAATAGGATAGGCTTTGGGTGAGAACCAGGAGCAATCAATTGACGATAACAGCCAATTCCTTTCCACGCTGGAGATCTTCAAGCAGAGGCTGGACAGCCATCTGTTAGGGATGCTCACGCTCTGGATTTCTGGCACAGAGTAGAAAGATGGATCACAAAAGTCCACCTCCAGCTCTGATTCTATGGGTGCTGCTGGGTGCTTCAGGCAGAGGGCATACTTCTTGCACTGACTTGGCTAGGGCACAGATTTCTCACCCTCACACATGCACTCTCAAAGATGGATAAAGCAACACATTGACTTCAGCTTTCGAAGTTGCTGTTTTGAAGGAAAAGTAACCTACACACACACAAAAACAAAACACGTGCAACTGCATGCTTATTGTGCTATAAACGGATAATCCCGACCAGAACTCTTCTGTGGAGACGGCAAAGCTGCCTTGGAGATAACTGGAACTCAAATGGAGCAATGAAAATTGGTTCCACCCAGGCACCCACTCAAAGTCATTCTCTCCAAGAGGTAGCTGTTTCCTCTCACAATATTGGCTGGCAGCCAGAGGTTCTTGTTCCTTACTCTTTGAAGCTTTCCGCAAGGAGGGGGAAGCTGCAGGGAGTGCCCTGGATGCAGCAAACACTTACAGTACCAGCCAGGAAACCTACCTTACTGGCGTGGGCTGCTCAGAAATAGTGAGATTCATAATCAGCTCCCAACAAATCATTACAGTAGGTCAATACTTACCTTGTGAGAGAAATCAATATTGCAGGCTGGAGAATTCTTAAGTCCCTGTAAGAACAGATCTGTAGATAAACAACAACCTTTTTTTAACATAAAATAAAATAAAAAAGCATTCCACTGAATCCAGACTGCAAGAGGGTGGATTGGAAATTCCAGAAAGATAACAGTTCTGGGTCACTCAGCTTTGATGTGGCTAAAGCAAAAGAATCCCAAGGTTCCTTTAGAGCTTACCAGGCATTCCTCAACAAGATCAGCAATGCTGGACAAATTCCTTGCTTTCCTCTGTTTATCTTGCCCTAGAATACACCATTGCAGGATAGTGCAAAGTGCATTTGGTGCAAAGATTCTCAAAATACGGTCTGCGAGCTCTGTTCAGGTGGTTCACGGCAACGTTGCAGAACAGCCAAGACTATCCTGCCCTTGGTTTATTATTGAACAATCCAACAGGGCTGTGGCCTTGGGTCTCTGATTGTCATAATACGGTACCGGTGAATATTACAGCTGTACTGGATGGGTCTCATTAGGGTTGTAGTCCCAAACATCTGGAGAGCTCCATGCTGGGGAAGGCTATTCTATGCCTTCAGAGAAGACAAGCAGAACTCCAACTGGTGCTCAGGATCATGGGAAGGAACACAGGAAGCTGATTTATACCAAGGAAGACTATTGGTGCAACCAGCTCTGTACACTGGCTGGCAGCAGCTCTCCAGAGTTTCAGATAGAGGACAATCCCAGCAATACCTTGAGATGCCAGGGGTTGACCGTGGGACCTTTTGACATGGAAAAATGCAACTTCTGCCAGCATGAGTCAAGTTACAGGAAAGGAGATTATACATCAGGAGAACTTTCTGATGGCAAGAACTATTTGAACAGTGGAACAGACTCTGTCGGGAAGATGTGGACTCTCCTTTCTTAAAGACATTTTTTAGCAGAGGTTGGAAGGTGATCTGTCATGTAGCTGAGATTCCTAGAGGATGGACTAGATGACCCTTGGGATCTCTTCCAACTTTACAATTCTATGATAAATGGTGGGTTTTCCTTTCCTATGGCATCCAGCTCCTTCCCAGTACGTTTCCGAGCACAATTCAAAGTGTTGGTGCTGACCTTTAAAGCCCTAAACGGCCATGGCCCAGTATACCTGAAGGAGCGTCTCCACCCCCATCATTCACTGAGGTCCAGCGCCGAGGGCCTTCTGGCGGTTCCCTCATTGCGAGAAGTGAGGTTACAAGGAACCAGACATAGGGCCTTCTCAGTAGTAACGCCTGCCCTGTGGAACGCCCTCCCATCAGATGTCAAAGAAATAAACAACTATCTGATGTTTAGAAGACATCTGAAGGCAGCTCTGTTTAGGGAAGTTTTTAATGACTGATGTTTTAATGTATTTTTAATCTCTTGTTGGAAGCCGCCCAGAGTGGCTGGGGAAACCCAACCAGATGGGAGCTTGCTTGCTTATTTATTTATTTATTTATTTATTTATTATTCCCAAATAACTGCTTCAAAATATTTACACGTAAAACCTGCAACAAGGTGTTGCAGTGTGGAGTGCTGCTGTTCATTCACAATTCCAGCCACTCTGTGAACATGCTGTGATGGGAACACAAAGAGTTCACAGTATGGGCTTGAACGAGCCATTGGAGTCAAGTCCTGTGGAAATTTGCAACCGGGGGTGCTTGAAAGATTCAATTTCAAAATCTCTCTATGGTCCAGAAAGTTCATTTTCACATGGTGTTTTTTTATATAAGGTATGCTTTAATTATCCAACAGCATCTTCCAACAAAAAGACCAACATTTCAGAAGTTAGAAAATCACAATAATAAAGTTCTGAAATCCTCCATGAAATGACCAGCAGAAGACAATGCTGTTTCTATTGTTAAAGTTAAGCAGGTTTCACCCTGGACAGTGTCTGGATGGCCCTACTAGAAGCTTCATGTAACTCCAAAATCCTTGAAGGAAGAGGGAGACGTAAGTATAATAAAAGAAATGCATACCCTTGTAAAAAAAGAGAGAAAGCTCCAGTATTTGTTGGCAGTATTTCATCTTAAGAGATACTTTGGATTTGAGCCTCTGGTCTGCAAACCCCACCCGATAACCCTTGATATGTCAGGACTTGCTACAGTAAACCACTGGTGAAAAATACTTTGTATATGCTCAGAGGACTCCATCATTGCTTCATTAGAACAAGGCTGAGTACAAGCATTAAACAAAGAAGTCTGGATTCCAGTTCTGATAAGCTAGAAAGTAAATGTGATATTAGGAGCTCTACCAAAGAGGATGGTGATGGATATTGTATCAATTAAATAAAACAGTTGACAGGCAGTGGAGAAGTCCGCTGCTGCTGGACCTACTATTCAGTCCATCTTACATACGAAGGGCCCCAGCAAAATCAAATACTTCCTGTTTTCAATCCTTGCTATCTCTTATGCTATCTCTTATGCTGCATTAACTGCTGCTGTATTTTAAAACTGCTATTCCATTGCAAGTGTTTCATTGGAAAAGAGATCTTAAAATTATTTTCCATACTGATTCGTCCCTGGACCCAACTGACTGTAATTGGCTTGCAAGCCTGAAGGAAGCTATAAAGACTTTTAATTAAGGGAATTTAAATTACAGAAGCTTAAATAAAACATGGGGAGGCTATTTAAATCTGGCTACCCGGCACAAAGCTTCTGTAAGGCATCATCATCGTACACCATTTGTCATGTAGCCTTCAAGAAAAGGAGATGTTTGGCAGCAAATCACACCGTCAGCTACTCCATCCTGGTCCCAGAGGCACTCAATATTCAGGGCTGATTCTCCATTTACCTTTTGTACTGGTGCACATAACGGAGTACCCAAATGCACATATGCCCCGTGAAACCCAATGTGTGCATGCATAAAGCAAAAGAACAAAAACGGGAAGCAGCAACCAGGAAAGGATCAGGCCACAATTTCTGAGCTTCTTATACCCGGCACACAATTGATGGAGAGCATCTGTATTTGTCATGTGTGGACCCATGAAAGACAGCCATCAGAACTCTGGGTACCATTAAAGGGATGTTAGTATTGTCATACGGTTGCTCCATAATGGCAGGGTCTGAAGGGAAGTTGCTAAATAATGATGATGATCAAAGGTATCCCTAAATAATCTGAGAGGTGATTGGACATGAAACATCTGCTGGAATGCTAGTTCAAAAGTGACTCCGCACAAATAAATACATACAGCCACATCTCTGCAGTAATTTTGCCCGAAATATCTAAACGCAGAAGCGTTTCTGCAAGATTTGAGTCAAAGCCCAGGTGGTGGAAAGGCGTGTTCTGGAAAAGGGCATAGATGGATAGATCCTCAGAAAGCTCAGTTGGTACAGCATGAGACTCTGAATCTCAAGGTCATGGGTTTGAGCCCCATGTTGGGCAAAAGGTTCCTGCATCGCAGGGGGTTGGACTAGATGACCCCTGTGGTCCCTTCCAGCTCTATGATCTTCAACAGGATCAAGGCACACTGCAACATTTTGCTACAACGTAACACGCCACCTATGTAACACAAAACTGAGATCCAGAAAATTCAGTGAACCCCAGATGTCTGCTGCACCTCTGCTCTTACAATTATTTTATCTACTACAGCAGCACTAGATATTTGGTTGGGAGCCGCCCAGAGTGGCTGGGGAAACCCAGCCAGATGGGCGGGGTATAAATAATAAATTATTTTTATTTTTATAGATAACTCCTTGACTGTCGCTGTTTTAAAAACAGAACACAAAACAAAGACGGGGGGGGGGGGGAGAAATACAACCAGACTTGTTCACGCTAGACCTTAAAACCTTTAAAAGCACCTTTCAGTTTGATTTATCATGCCAAAAATTACCTCCCCAAATGTTTTAGCAGCGGATAGTAACTAGCTGTGGCTCTTAATTTTGGGGTCATGGGTTTGAGCCTCACAGGCAAAAAGATTCCTGCATTGCAGGGGGCTGGACTAGATGACCCCTATGGTCTCTTCCAGCTCCACAATTCTACGATTCTTTGATATCTAAGAGCTGTTTCATATGTTACGGCTACCATTTGGAGGCTGCTTTCAAATGCTTCATGTGGTGACTGCCACCATGTGGGAAACCACTCATCTACAGAGGCTTACGCTAAGCAGATTGATTTTCCCCCATGCCATTTTCACCCCCTCCTTTGAACCTTTGTGATGCTATAGAGAAAATCGCAACATCCATATGGGTAAGTACACAAACAGCTCAACATGCAGTGACACAGATCATCTGTAGCAATGACCCTCTGCAGGGCCACCATGCTTTGCAAGCCAAGCCCAAGAGCCCCTTCACAAGCTTCTAAATGCTTAGAACCGCTAGAACAGTCAGGCTTCACTAATACGCTCATCTTGGGCTAAGACCCCATCTTATTTTACACAGTCCAACCTTTGCTGCAAACGGACAACTGTAAGATCAGCATATCCCAGAGGAAGAAGCAGTTCATCAAGTGATGCTTCGCCCATTAAATCAAAGGCAATATACCTTAACGTATCAGGCTTGAGACTGGTGCCCAGAGAGGCTGAGCAGCCCAACCTTCAACGAGGCCCAAGGGAAATGCAATGCTCAGTATAATATAACAGAGTGGACTTCATGTCTGCTGCAGGCATCCCATTATTGAACCGCTAAGGATGCTTTTAGTAAGGCATTTGCTTCCATCCACAATTGCAGTGCTTTTGCAAATCAGAGTTACAGTGGTACCTCAGGTTACATACGCTTCAGGTTACAGACTCTGCTAACCCAGAAATAGTACCTCGGGTCAAGAACTTTGCTTCAGGATAAAAGAAATCGTGCTCCGGCGACGCGGCAGCAGCAGGAGGCCCCATCAGCTAAAGTGGTGCTTCAGGTTAAGAACAGTTTCAGGTTAAGAACGGACCTCTGGAACGAATTAAGTTCCTAACCCGAGGTACCACTGTACATGGAATACCACTAGTCAGATGAGATTGTAATGGAACCAGTGGCGGAGCAAGGTTAGGTGGTACCCGGTGCGAAAAACTTCTTGTCTCACCCCCCCATTGATTTTTTTTTTTTTACCTGCAACAATGGTTTGACTTTATTTCAAGGGGGGGAGCCAAAGTTGTTGAGCTTTTTGGGGGGAGATTGCGTTGCAACGAGGAACCTGCTGGCCACCATTCAGCTGAGGGAGAGCCGGCGGACAGACCAATTTGGCAGCGGGAAGCCTGTGTGCACCAAAGCAACAGAGTCTCTCACAGTCATTGAATGCTGCATAGCATTTTGTCACACACCGCCCTCGGAGGTGGCACCTGGGGAGAACCGCACCCACCGCGCGACGCCTCTGAATGGAACCCAGTTTTGATGCAGGGAATGAACTGACTGACACCTGGTCAGAGTCAGGATCCAGCTTAGCCAACCAATTATTATCCCTTGATGTAGGAAGCAGGGGCCCTTTTTCAATCAGAGGATGGCACTCCCTTGTGGGCAGTCTCTTGGGGTTGCATGCCAGGGGTGGGCAGGGCTAGAAGCGGTAAGTGGGTGGAGAAGCAGATGTAACACTTATCATCATCCAATAGGCGACATTCTAGCCACGCACAAAACTGAAGTTTCTACACCACTCACACTAACATCTCTCCATCTAAGGAACTGAAAGCTCAAGGACCAATGTTAGCCAGGAAAGCAAAGTACGCGGGGGCAGGACCAGTGAGAGGGCATGAACTGTGTAGGGTTCTAAGGGCCAAGTAGAGACACCCAGAGGGCCACATTTGGTACCCCCACGCCTGCCTTAAAGGGGTAGCTCTCGCAGTTCTACAAACGAGGAAATGTTGTTTGCTTATGAGCCTATCAAGCATTTGAAGTTGTCAGACAGTTTTCTAGCAAACTTCCATCTTGCCTCTTTATTCATCACTCTTGTCTGCCGCAGATACTCTTGTATCTCTTTTGTCGTACACAATCTGACCATCAACTTTTAAGGCTTTCAGCAGCGACAGTTTCTAGCGGGCAGGCACTGTGGGAGTGAAAATAGTACATGTTACGGCACCTTAAAGGCCAGCGAATTGATTTTGGTAGAAGTTTTGCTGTGCCAGAGTCGGCAACACTTCATGCATCTAATGAAGTGGGCTCTGCTCCACCAAAGTTTATGCGGCCATTAATGTGTCATTAATGTGCCACAAGACTCGTTTAAGGCTGTGCTTCTGCTCCTAGAATCTCCCATTCGGCAAGCCCACAAGCTGCCGCATCTTTTCACCTAAAAAAAATACTGCTCTCTCCCCAGAGAGCACATTGGTGCTCACAGGGTTATCACACTGGAAGCGCAGAATGTAGCTGCACAAGTTTCATGGCATTTATTGCAGTTTGTGGCATAATTATTAGCATCAAGTCTCCTGCATGTGCTTCTACATCATACTGTGAAACCTTTAGATCTTTTAAAAACAGTGTTACCGTATTAGAATTGAACACCCTAGTGCTTATTCCATCAATATATTTTTATGTAGGAGGAATGCCATCAGGACTGCTGCACAATGACACCCTGACATTTCGTGAACGTTTTCACTAATGTTACAATACCCTTTAGAGGCTGCTCAAAAGAAATGGGGTGGGGGGTAGGAGAGAGAAAATGCAGCATATTGCAAAATTGTATGTGACCTCTTATGGTCCTGACAATCCAAATATCAAAAATGTTCCCTACTACAGCCCTGTTTGTGTATTACAAGTGGAAGAGATCTGACAGCACCATTATATAAAAGGAACTCATATTAGCATTACACAAGGAAAGGCTGACACAGTTTGGCCAGGGGTGGAGAACTGGTGAACGACTCTGGGGTTGTGGCGCTCATCTCACTTTACAGGCCGAGGGAGCCGGCGTTTGTCCGCAGACAGTTTTCCGGGTCATGTGGCCAGCATGACTAAACTGCTTCTGGTGAAACCAGAGCAGCACACGGAAACGCCGTTTACCTTCCCGCTGGAGCGGTACCTATTTATCTACTTGCACTTTTTGGGGTGCTTTCAAACTGCTAGGTTGGCAGGAGCTGGGACTGAGCAACGGGAGCTCACCCCGTCGCGGGGATTCGAACTGCCGACCTTCTGATCAGCAAGCCGAAGAGCAGGAATAGGCAACCTAAGGCCTGTGGGCCGGATGCGGTCCAATCGCCTTCTCAATCAGGCCTGTGGACGGTCCGGGAAACAGCATGTTTTTACATGAGTAGAATGTGTCCTTTAATTTAAAATGCATCTCTTGGTTATTTGTGGGGCCTGCTTGGTGTTTTTTGTTTTACATGAGTAGAATGTGTGCTTTTATTTCAAATGGATCTCTGGGTTATGTGTGGGGCATAGGAATTCATTCTTTTTTTTCTTTTTCAAAATATAGTCCAGCCCACCACCTGGTCTGAGGGATAGTGGACCAGCCCACGACTGAAAAAGGTTGCTGACCGCTGCACAAGAGGCTGTGGTTTAGACCACAGCACCACCCGCATCCCTAACAGTTAGCTAATCTCCAACAAAGTCAGCAAATCCTGGATGTGTTAAAAAATTAATAAGCAATAATTGTTCTGACATGTCCCGGGCTCATTAAAACAGCTTGGTTCCTAACAACAATGAATAACCATTTCTTTAAAAAAGGAAAAAAAAAAGAAATCAGGATTTTTTATTTTTTTAAAAATCAAAATCTTAATTTCTGCACGTCCGCACTCTTTGAGGTGGGGCTGCTGCATCCCAAGCACCAACCCAGGCAGGAAAAGAAGGTCTAGACAGCAAGACAGGCCTGTTCACAAGGAATGTTTACAAAGAATCAACAAAGGATTTAACCAGTTTCATCATCTGGCACAGCCATGAAATTCACGGCAATTATCTTGAAAGTCTCCCATGACATATCTCAACCCTATGTTCTTTAGCTATATTTTGGGGAGAAAAGCAGCCAAGCTCACAAAGAAGGAATTTGCAATGTGTCATAGTTAATAACTACCCTAAAATCATACCCATGTGGCTATAATTTTGTGAACCAAAATAGGATTGTTATGGGCTGTGCAGTGTGTGCAGCTAGCTTCCTCTGGTCAGCAATAAAAACGGAACCTGCCTGTCCCCCATAATGTTCACGGTGTTCCTGGTTTTGAGAACAAACACCCTACCAGGACCTTGGTCAGTTGACTTGGGATGCAGCCAGGGAATATGGTCCAACCCTCTAGGTACTGAACTATTGACACCTCACCTGCCGCAATCAGCAGCTCAGGAACAAGACCATTGGTCCATCTAGCTCAGAATCGCCTATACACTGATTGGCAGCAGTTCTCCAGGATTTCAGACAGGGAACACTCCCAGACCTACCTGAAGATGCCAGGAATAGAACCTGGAACCTTCTGCATGCAAGGCAAATGCTCTACCACTTCACCATTGCCCAGTCCTATGCAACAGGTGGCAAGTTGGCACATGAGTCCAAGGGGTGCTGTCAATGTTGCCTGCCAGAAGCATCCCAGCAAAATAAAAAGCTTGGGGGAAAGGAATCATAGAAACGTAGAGTTGGAAGGGTCTCTAAGGGTCATCAAGTCCAACCCCCTGCAATGCAGGAATCTCAACTAGATCATACATGGCAAATGGCCACCCTACCTCTGCTTACAAACCTCCAAGGAAGGAGAGTCCATCACCTTCCAAGGATCTGCCAAACAGAAAGTTTTTCTGGTGTTTAGTTGGCATCTGCTTTCTTGCAACTTGAAGCCATTGGTTCGAGTTCCACCCTCCAGAGCAGAAGAAAAAAAAAGGCTTGCTTCATCTTCCATGGGACAGCCCTTAAGATGGTTGTCGCAATGATCTCAAACTATTCCTGCCTCCCTAGCATGGCATTGCTTACACTTTCTCTATGACAGTATGATCCATGCCAACCTCAACTGTTTTACAAATAAATGGACCGGCTTTATGGCACTCATACTTGCATCATCAAGCAGTGATGGGTAGACGAGATGTTTTCTGCACGTGAGTGGCTGTGTCGTGCATACTTGGTCGCTGCAATGTCAGAAACAAAAGTAGCTTTCAACTCCTGTTTGAAAAGTGAATTTGCTGAGATGTTAACAGCCAGTCAACAGGACTTTCAGGTGAAGCTGCTCTTAAATGGCAGGCAGTTTTTCAACAAAGGGCCTTAATCTGAACGTATATGAAAAGATGCCCAACCACAGGAATTCTAAGTTCTCTCTGATGAAGTGGCAAGAGAACATTAAGCAGTGCTCATTTAATTGAGTTTACTTCTCTTCCCCTTCCATCTGCTTTACCCAGCAGACTTAAGAAAGCCATTAGCTGTTTGCAAAAAGAAAACATGTTTGCTCATAAGTCCCTGTCCGCCTTCCCACAAACATCCCGCAGCCTCTGAGGAATCCCCAATCACAGAGCAGTCCCAGCCACAGCAACTTCCTATTGAGTCTTTTCTAAAAAAATTTTTAAAAAACTGAATGACTTCTTAAGTGCCATGGGATCTTGGGAATGCACATTTCCCATAAACCCAGCTTCCAAATATACTGAACTGTCCTGGCACCCGATAAGTCTTCTTCCTTCCTTCCTTTCCCACTCATTCCCCTTTGATGAGAATCAGCAGAGATGAATCCCAGATCAACGTATCGCGAAAGCAGCGTTTCTCACCAAGTCTGTTCCTGCCAACTCAGAGGTCCAAACTGCACAATAGTCTAATCCTACTCGCAACACAAAACCATCGCCACCGCAATGGGCCCCTTCCACACATCACCTTCAGAATAGTCAGTAGTGTGCAGCAGGCATGTAAAAAGTCACGTATGTGGGATCAGACACACATTTTCCCACACTCTGCACCTGCCCACTGGGAAGCTACTATTGGGCCCACTGAGCAAACAGACATCAAACAAAACAATCGACAAGCTAACTGTACATTTTCTTTGAATGCCTTCCATGTATGAATGTTTTATAACACACGAAACAGTTCGACTTTCTACAGTTACGCCCTCAACAATCAAAGACATGCAAAGCTTGTCCCAAACAGGGTGCCCTCAATCCACAGAAAGCCAGGCTTGCTTTAATCCGAATTAAAGCGAACTGGAGTTCCTGTGCCCACAAAGTTCTTTTTTCTGCCATTTGACCAAAGCGCTTCTCCTCCTGACCCCTGCTGCATATAGCCATCTCCAAATCACATAAATATTCAGATTTCCCCAGCCTCCTGTCTGGAGTAACAGACAAACCAAACAGCTGGTTAAAAGAGGATCTAGAATCTAGAGCTGAAGCAATTTTTTTCTTGATGGGTAAGGCTGACAGGCTACTCGCCATTTCCTGCATCTGTAAATAGGGGAGGGTAATACTCTCTTAAGGAATGTGGTTTTTTAAATAAAAAACAAGTCAAAAACATTTGAGTTTAGGCAGAAATCTCTCAGTGTATTTTTTTTTCACCTTAAAAATATTTTTTTAAAAATATACAGAACTTCTGAATACAGACATAGCTTACATGGCTGAATTAGATATAGACATAGAGCATGTTCACAACTTCGAATTTAAACCTATTCAAGCCTGACGTTCAGTGACAACCGTACAGAAGGTTAGTGGCTTGGCAGCCCAATATCAAGTAATTTTGCCAACATTTCATTTCATTTCTTCCCCCAGAGTAAATCACTCAGAAATATCACACATTTGTCCTTGCGTGTTCAAAATGTCTGACTAGCAGTATTAACTGTACAACATATCAAAAAATATACTGGAAATCCCTCTAAGGGCACAAATTTTTGCTATTTATTTGAATCAATAAAGGGGGGTGGTGGGAACCTTGTATTTTCCTTCAAAGGCCTGTGGCCTCCCCAAAACAACACATCCATCGGAGGTCAGTTCACTATTACAGCTTCAGCTTTTTTAAAAAACACGCTGCTCTTTTTTGTTTTTAGTTTGCTACTTCAGCCACTGGATCCAGCTGATCAGAAGGGGGCAGCTTGCAAGCTTGCTTAGTTCAAAGCGAGAAAGTCAAGCAATGAGCAAGTCAGGGAGCAGCTACACAACACCCTGGGGGTCCAGTGGTTTCCTGGGCCGGCATGCTGCTACCAGTGCTCAAGGCCAGTTCAGGCTGCTCACACATACAGTGTTACCTGGGGACTAATTGTTTCTTGCTTCTTACTTCTGAGCAGGAATGAATAGGATTTGCATTGCAGGCTTCCAAGCTCCCCTCTCCTGCCGCACAGTGGACTTGGGGTTACAATTTCCGATGGAGAAATCAATCCCCTTGTCACTGCAGGAACACAGATCACGTAGCTGATATACACAGCAACTGCCATCCCACAGCAGACAATACACATGTGTGACACATTGTAATGCACATGTTCCAGAGAGGAAGCCATATTTATCTTTTCCAGGGGGGAAAAATCAACAAGAGGCTTGTGGAACCTCTGACTAATATATTCTGATGTAAACTCAAGTGTTTATTATACCCGATGCAATAAAGTTTTAAGAGACTACAAGATTCTTTGTGCAGATGCTTTTTCCTGACAAAAAGATTAATGCGCCTGTGGGAAAAGAGTACTGTACGAAGTGATGGAAACGATCAACTATAGAACTAAACGCTATGAGCTACAGAGGGAAAATGCATGTTTTAAAAAACCTGAATATCAGCTATGTCTAAGCACTACAGTGGGTTTTAAACCATGTTCTGCTCTCATTAGATTCTTCAGCAAAATCGTGAATGTTGTCAGCTCATACACTAATGTATTTCAAATCCCTAAAAGACAAGTTTAAAAATATAAAAGATTAGGCCTCTGACATAGGTTCAAGAGAAGAGACTAGATTCAAGTCAGGTTCTGGGGAAACTAACCGTGGCCATTTCCAGGTATATATTTCTATACGAGGGTGGTTGTGTTAGCGGCTTCACTGTTCCAACGCTCAGACTACTGGAATCGCTCATACCATTGTAAAGTCTGCATTTACAGGAATGGTCCTATGGCATTATAATGCAACTGTTTTATTTCTGGAAGCCCCAGAGGCAGTTGCAACCAACCAAGGAGAACAGAAGTGGCAGAAGGATGGTTTGGGGATTTCCAGACAAAAACAGTGACCAAAGGGTAGCTGTTTCCACTTGCTCTTATTCACTGCTGGGAAGGGGAAGGGGTGTTCACCATTTGCAGTGGGCAGGGTAGAGTCAACCCAAATTGGGAAGGTCAGCATGCAGGCCAGCAGCGATATCAGTGGGGGTTTATGTCAAAGAATTTAGGACTGGCAGCAATGACAGCTGAAACAGAAGGAAAGTTAAATGAAACTCAAATCTGATGTAACTGGCCTGGGAAAAGGTCAGGAACAAATACACCAAAGGTTAACTCTCAAAAGCAGCATCGCCATGAGGCCGGAGAAATATGACAACAGTAACCTCAGGAATGAATTCCTTTTGGGCATGTTTACAGCAAAATATTAACCGGAACGCGTCTTCCTTGCTTACAATTTGGAAAAGAATGTTTTAACAAAAGAGGTGCTGAGCAAGCAGTAATAAAGCACAGGGTCAAACAGTGCTATAGCCAGGGCTTTAAGGAACTGGGCATCCTTTTCCACCCCAGATTAGCTGTGACTTGCAAAGGAAGCTTTCCCCAATAGCCCTTTAAACACCATTCAGCACCTGCTCCTTCCCTCTGTCCGCGTGTGTACAGAATATAGATTATATAGGTCCTCTCTATGCATTAACTAAGGGGCTCTGTATACAAAGAGGTATATGCACAGGGGTACAAAGGAAATGCCTCGGGGTACATTTCAGATAGGCTGACATACCTGAGCTCCATTCCACGTGGTTCCCCCCCACTTATTTAGGGATTAATAAAGCGTATTTGTAAAAACTAAAAACCGGTACAGTTTTCCCTGCTCGAGTCCCAGAGAGCGAGGCGGGGAAGCCAAGGGCCAAGACAGGAGGAGAAGCGTCCTTCATCTCCCGGCCTTTCCGAGTCCACAGCCGAGAGCGCGCACTCGAGTCCGGGGCGACGGGGCGGTCCAGGCTCCCTGCTTGCTCCAGCGGCCGTCGGGGCTCCCGGTCGGATGGCTTCCCTTGTACTCCGCAGTCGCTGTCTCCGCCGGAGTCGGTGCAGCACGGTGGGGTCGGTCGAGGGATGGGGTTGGCGGGGAGAAAGGTTGTGCCTCCGGCCTCCTGGGCCGGATCGAGTCCCTAGCGCGCCGCGGTGTCGGGCGTCGTCGTGGGCGGCACGGCGGTGGTCAGCGGCCTCGTGCTCTCTCCGGTGCCGGGCGCGAGCGGGCCGGGGTCGGGGCCGGGGGCCGTCCCGGGCGGCTGGGGCGGGGTGTGCGGCCCGCCGCGCACGGGCTGCCAGATGAGGCTGTAGTAGACGGCCAGCACGATGGCGGCCAGCGAGACGGAGAGGACGTAGGCCAGCACGGTGGCCAGGCGCACCCACTTCTTGTTGGTCTTGGCCGCCATGCGCGCCTTCTTGTCCCCGGTGTAAGTGGCCGGCTTGCCCCGCTCCCCGCCCGCCCCCGCCTCCTTCTCCTTCATGGGGGCGCGGCCTTTGGCCCGCTGCTCCACCGCCCTCTCCGTCTTGCTGAGGCTCCCGAGCGGGATGGGCCCCGAGGGACGCGCCGCCGCCGATCACATCACGACATGCCCCGGGGCGCCGGGAGAACCAGGCGCCGCTGCTGCTGCTGCTGCAGCGGGTGGGCCTCGCAGGCAGGCGGCGGACGGCGATCGACGGCCTCGGCGGCGAGCTTGCGACGCGCCCGGCTGCAGGGGGGCGGCCGCGGGTGGGGAAGCCCGTCGGCGGAAAGGCAGCGTCGCTCGGCCTCGACCCGCGGCGAGGATGCTGCTGTCGGGGCGCGCGCCTCCCTCTCTCTTTCGCAGCAGCAGCAGCAGCTGAATCCGCGGCGTCTCGGCGGCGCTCAGCGGCCGGGCTGTGCAGGCAGCGGGTATTAAAGGGGCACGAGCGCCGACGGAGGTGGGAGCGGATGCTGTGGCGCCTTAAAAAGGCAATGCAAGAGCGGGAGGACCACCGGCCAGCCGCGGCTCTGCACTGGCAGCAGGCCAGGGACCGCCGACCCGCCTTCTGTCCGGGGAGGGGAAACAGCTCCGGCGCATCACATATTGGGAGGGGGAGCGACTCGGGGGGCTGCGATCCCCACTCCCATTTCCCTGGGAGTCAGTCTCATTTAATGGAGTCACTACTTCCGAGTACATGCGGTAGGGTCGCGCTGGGGGGGGGGGGGAGCGGGGGCGGGGGAGACAGGAAGCGAAAGGTACACGCAAAGCTGCGATCCTAAACAAATTTGCAATTCTTGGCTATTGAGGCTGGTGGGGGGAGTCGCCCTGAATGAAATGGGACTTCCTTCCGAATATCCCTGCATTGCTCCGCGTTGCTCAAAAGTCCTAAGCCATTCGAGAGAGAGGTCCGCTTCAGACACTAGTTTTCCCTCCTCTAGCTGATATTAGGGTGCGGGCGTGGGGGAATGGTCAAATATCGAGGCGCCCGTCCGTGATCCCGAAGTGACAGGTATGGAAGAACAAACGGTCAGCGAGCCGCACTCTCCTCCCCACCGGCCTGTGCTGTAATGTCAACATGGGGACTCCCGGATTTTGTCCGGGAAGAACTCCTGAACTAGTTTGGGGGCCCGTTCATCGCACTGTGGACATTTGTGAGTCTCATAGCTCCCATTTCAAACATTGCAAAAGAAGCCAAGAAAACCGCTTTTTCAATCTATCAACCATGGGGGGGGGGCGGGATTTTGGACCAATAGGTGAGCACCTGGAGTCTGGACATTGCAAATATTAGGTGCGTTTGACCGTTGGAAAAACGCCTCTAGAAATCTAATTGCCCTGCCCAAGATGCTGGTGTGTCTAATAGAGATTCTAGGACCCACTAATGACTTTGGTGTGTGTGATCCAACATTTTGTATTTTTGTTTCATGGGAGCAAGGAATTGAGGGGGAAGAAGCTAGAAAAGTGCTCACTGGTTCCAAACTTTCAAAACAGAGATTTTAAAAACAGGAGTGTTAGAATGAAGTCACCTTAAGATGCTCTGTTACGGCCATTTGACTCTTAATGCAGTGATGTGCCAATATGACATGTTGAGAACAAAGGATTGGAATGTAATAATCCCTCTGCTGATTTTATACATATGAGATAGAACTGCCCTTTAGGTATATTGGATCAAAATACTAAATGAGGTGGATAAATGAATGGCAATATACCACTTGTCTTATTAGGACCATTTGATCTCTGATCTGCTGGCTGCTGCTAAATTCAAAGTCTTAAAGTATAACTATGTGACAAAAGTTTGAAATGTTGCACAAATGCTAACATCCGATAAATTGATGACATGTCTAGATAGAAAAAGGACAGCTGAAACATCTTTGAAATGCAGTGTTCATGAAAGATACACCTCAATCACTCAGAAGTCCTAAATGGATTTCCAGAAGTTCAATTACAGTATAACATTTCAAACTGTTTTAAATGCTTTTTTAAAAAACCAAACAGTTCTGTGACATGAATCTCATTTGTTCTATCTGAAGGTATAACCTCTTAGGAAAGAAATGCTTCTGTATTTCCTCTTTTTTTAATATGACAGGCAAATAGCTATACATTAATTCAGGTGGGTTTCATCTACGTCCTCTTGCTTGCTGGCCTGCTTGAGCCTGTGATAGGCTGCTGCGTGTTTGGCTTTCTCTGGAGCAGTGAACTCTACCCATCAAAGGTAACAGGGGAGCTTGCTGTTGAGTACAACAGCACACACCTTTAACTGAAAGAAGGACAAGTCAAGAGCTGATCTTGTAATGGGAAATTCCATATTCTTATTACTTCAAACCATTGATTTGGCTTTTGAACATGTATAAGCAAATGGCTGAAGTAAAGTTCAGGGACCTTTGTTTACATAAACGGTCCCTCTATCACATGTCAGTAACTAGTGGCCCTAAATTCTAATCAAGCCCTCTGACTTCCCAGTTGTCAGCTCAGATGCAAGGGGACAGCATATTTAAGGAGGGGCCCTTGTTGTCATGTGAATGGCTACCAGTTCCCTTTTAGAGGTGAGGTGGGACCCTGGGCTTCCAGTTCATGCCATTTCTCAAAGTGACCCTCTGTTTATACAGGAATGACCAACCTTTCTGGGCCCATTTGCAAATCTTGTGGGCATCACACACCCAGAGCAACCAACTACACACCAACCTGTTCTATAGGCGACAACAGAATGCACATTTCAAGTCTAATTTCAGTGGGAGAAGAAGACCCTGTGGGCACCAGAGGAAGCCTATGTGTGCCCCTGGGCACAACTTTGGCAACCCCTGTTCTAGCAAAGCATGTTTTGGAAAAAGGCCTTTTGAGCATCTTCCGTTACAGCTGCTTAACACCTCTCATTCTTAAGAACAACCTTATATTTTCAGTCACCTTGGTCCCATATGGGAAATCTTTATGTCACCCAAGCCAATGCATGTCTGCTCAGATGTAAACTGCATTAAGCTCACTGAGGTTTACTCCCAGGTAACTGCGCACAGGGGGGCAGCCATATGGTGGTATTAAACTAATTTTTACACAGAATAGTTCCACCGAAATGAGTGAACATGACTAAGTTAGGCCCATTAATTGAATACCATCCATAATGACTAATCTGTATGCCACCTTAATTAGTTATTGTCACTCTGTCCTGAAGATGTAGCTTTGCAGCTTCACACAACTTCATAATTGTGGGAGGCTAATTTGCCATTATAGACTTGGATTGCTGGCTGACTAAAACAGAGCAGTTCTTGCTTTCAAGATGCTATTTCCCCTCCACATTAAAATCCACACAGAAACAAATGCATAAGGGGAAGTGAATGCACGCGCACACATGCCTAAACACACATTCATGTTAAGGATGATGATGATGATGATGTTAAGGTAAGGTTACCAGATTTTTTTCAGTGAATCCGGGGACACACTTCCAAGTTCAATGGATTTTGTATGGGGACTGATTTGTAAATCTGGGGACTGTCCCTGGGGAAGGGGGGTGTCTGGTAACCTTATGTTAAGGAAAGTAGGATGAAAAATTAGTGTAATAATAATGGGCAGGGGGGATTTCCCCACTATTAAGATTCTTGTTATTTGAATAACTATCCTACATATGTTCAGCCTCCAACGTTTTCCTTCTTGTCTTATAAATCATATCTCTCTCTCACACACACTCCCCATCTTTGTGTTCTGCCTGGCTATTGGTGAAGGAAATCCTTATTAAATGGGAATTGGTCTTCCGGTTCCCAGGAGCCCAGCAAATCTGTCTTAAGTGGGCAATGCTATTGAATGGAAGAGAACGAGCAGCACAGTCACAGATACAGCTATTCTGCAATATAGTAACAGCTGATCGGAGCTCCAGCAGGATATGAAATTACTGGTTTCCAAATTGCACCGCTCATTAAAAGGCTCTGCTGTTGCTCAGCAGCTGCTGGGAAACATAAAGAAATAAAGTGGATCAGGCATATATGAGGATGCTGGGTTTTGAGCATGGCTGTCAGCAGTGAGAGACTCGGTATGGTGATAGTATTTTTGTGATGCAATACATTAGGGGTGCCTAATGTGGCCTGTGGGCCTTACAAGTCCCCTAAGGTTTTTCATGGCCCCCAGAGGACCCCCCTATTGTGTCATTGTCAGCAGTTTTTAATTTAATTTAATTTAATTTAATTTATTTACTTATTCACCCAACTCCTCTCCGATCTCCTGTGTTCTGGGTGTTCTCCATTTGTTTCTCCAGGCAATTTGGGATCCAAAATTTCCCTGCTGAAAGGGTTGAAAGTGACAGACCCCTCTTCCTCGTTGAGAGCTGCCGGTAACTTTCTTGTTTCAACTGCTTCTGCAGCACCCTCTGAGTTTGTTGGAACCCCTGCAACTGTGACACAGAAAAGGTGTCTGAGAATCAGCCTCTAGTTCTTTTTTTATATATATAAAAAGGAAAGGTAAAGAAAAAGAGAGAGAAATCAGAGATTTAGCTCTAGGATGTTTTCCTTAGAGCTTGTAGGGTGGAGAGCTGGATCAATGACTTAAGAAGATGTCTGGCTGCCCTGGCAGTTGGGCTTTGGCTTTTCTCTTTGCTGTCAGCAAATCAATGGATGTGTGCTTATATTGATGCCTCTTTGTGATATACTCAGTTGGATAAGGAGATGTGCTTTGAAAATAGCTTTGTTTATCCAACAGCAGCTCTAAGGTACCATGTGGGTGATGATGAGCACAATTAACCTTCTACACAGGTCCAGGGGACGTGGGTTACAGACAAGAGGCTGGGAATAGGTAAATTGAATCTGTCCGATGTCAAAAGGCAGAGAGTTCCAAAATGTGGGTGCTGCAGTATCATGTGGCACCTGTAACAGCGCCAGTTCTGCAGATCAAAGTAGTCAAGTGGGCATATATGGGGTAAGGCAATCTCTCAAGACATCTGCACTCAGTACACAGACTTCAGGGGCACAGTTAGCCCTCTGGTGGCTTGACATTGAGGGCTGGGCCCAGAGGGTGGCCCCGATTGTGCTTCAGACTGCCAGTACCCTCCATGAAAAGTTGCAAGGAGCAGGGCTTGTGCTTAATTCTTCAAGGCCTGGCATCACTAACTCAGCATATCTCAAGCTCCTGTCCTGGCCAGGTCAGTCTGTTGCAGCAAAAACGAGAGAAGGAGAGAGCGCACCAGCCCTAGGGCGCCATCAAGACCAATGGATTTTGTGCAAGATGCAGTACAAGGGAAAGAGGCCTATCAAAAGGTCAAAATGGGGCATGGCTTAGTTACATTCCCTTTGGATTACTTCAGTGTGCTCTCCAAGTGGCAGCAAATGAGATCTAATTGAAAACAACTGCTCTGTCATCTGTCGGGAACTGTTCGCCACAGCCCTATACATAACTTCAGTAACTGTGTAAAGATCCTTCCAGGTTGTCTATTGTCTCCTACACAGGGAGCTTCTTGTC